TAGATGTCACTTGCCTGATGCATTGTGGGTCACAGACGTGTTGGGATAAATCTCCACCTGAATGAGCAGATGTGCTGAGCAGGATGCATTGTGGGATGCCGAAACCAGCAGAGTCTGGACGATGCATGGGAGCTCTGAGAAGGAGGCAGTCTCACTTGAGGAGCACCAGTCCAGACCCCTCTTCCACCGGACTGTCACTTCCAGCATGTTCTGAAAGGAAAACATGGCTGTGCATCTCTAGTCATGAGAAGACGTAACAGAACACACTGTAAACACACACCTGAGCCTTGCTTCCTCTTACCGAAGACCTGTATACAAGATGGCTCATTTCACAGGAGAACTGATGATGAAGGGAGTGGCAGCACTCCCTTCACTTCCAGCCAACCTGTGGTACCCAAGCTCTGGACCTTTTCTGTGATTACTGTTGTTATTCAGTGTGTCTGAGTGTGCATGCCAGTAAGTGTGTGTCCACATACATGTACGAGCATGTTGCTGGGACTGAACTTAGGACTGCACACCAGAAGAGGGCACCAGATCTCATAATGGATGGTTGTGAGCCACCATGTAGTTGCTGGGAATTGAACTTAGGACCTCTGGAAGAACAGTCACTGCTCTTAACCTCTGAGCCATCTCTCCAGCCCCGCCTCATCTCTTATACGTCTAAAAAAATTAGTGCTTTAATCCCAGCACTGGGAGGCAGAAGCAGGTGGCTCTCTGTGAGTTTGAGGCCAGCCTGGTCTACAGAGTGAGTTCCAGGACAGCCTCCAAAGCTACATAGAGAAACTCTGCCTCAAATAAATAAATAAATAAATAAATAAATAAATAAATAAATAAATTGTTTCATGCTTTTTATTTTTGCTTTGGTCCCTTTTGTTCTTCTTTAGATTAGATCCCATTATGTAAACCAGGCTGGTTCACATATCTGAATGCTTCACCTGTAACACATCCAAACACACCATTAACACTAGGGTAAGAACCCCATGCTGGATGGGGGTCTATACTGATAGCCCACAATTCCATATAATTCCAGGTAATACTGAATATGGAACTGTTGCAGAATATTTGTTTAACTATGTAAAGCTGTGTTCCTGTTTTACTTTGCCTGCCTAAGGCACCTAATTGATCTAATAAAAAAGGAATAGCGAGGGAGGAGGTCTAGGTGGGACTTGTGAGCACAGAGAATAAGTAGGAGAAGGAATTTAGTCTCGGGGAAGAAAGAGAAAAAGACTCCAGGGAGACGCCAGGCAGACACAGAGGAAGCAAGAAAGTAGGACATAAAGAATGAAAGAAAGGTAAAAAGCCTTGAGGCAAAATGTAGATGAAGAGAAACAAGTTAAATTAAGTTATAATAGCTAATGGGACAAGCCTAAGCTAAGGCCAAGCATTCATTAATAATAAGTCTCCTGGAGGTGTCTTTATTTGGGAGCTGGTTGGTAGCCCAAAGAAAATTCCAACTACTTGGAACATGAAATGTCAAATCACAAATTGGGGAGCTCACAGTGTGGTGAAACACACAGGACCTGAATTTGATCCCCAGCAAGACTCTCTCTCTCTCTCTCTCTCTCTCTCTCTCTCTCTCTCTCTCTCTCTCTCTCTCTCTCCCTCCTCTCTCTCTCTCCTCTCTCTCTCTCCACGCACACACACACACACACTTGCACAAGATCTTTACAGGTTCAAAGGAGCTTTTGCGTCAGGTCTTACCACACCGGGGCTCACAGTAACATTCCAATCTCCTGTCTCATTGCTGAGACCACCACAAGTAGGAACTGGCAACACTCCTGAGGGATAAATTAGAACGCAGGCATCAGGCTCTGGCAGCTAAGAAGTCGAGAGTCCTAGGATGGGAATCCCCACAGACACTGCATGAGACTAGTCAGGCAGTATGTCTCCTCGTTTGTCGATGGGATAAAGAAATCCTACTGTTCTTATGAGAGCACAGAGATGTTGTGGAGAATCTCGGGGGTGGGGGTGAGGGCTTGCTCAATGAATACTGGCCACTTTTTTCTTTCTTTGAAAAATAAAAAATAAAAAAACAAGCCCCACTATGCAGACCAGGCTGGCCTGGAACTGACAGATCTGCCTGCCTCGGCCTCCTCAGTGCCGGGCCATGCCTGGCTTGTTGGCCACTTTTATTTTGAGCTCCCGTTTCCAGAACCTGTACATGGGGCGTCTCTGCTCTACAGCACACAAAAACACTGCCATTCTTCCCCACCCCTACTCTGCTGAAGGCAGCAGCTCTATGGGCAGCACCCACGCTCCCAAGAAAAGCCAGGCTCTCACCTTTCTCGACCTCCAGGGGAGTCAGAGACACGGTGACATCCTCACTGCTTCCAACCAGGGACGCGCTGACCTCGGGGCTGGACATTCGGATGAAAGGTGGGATGAAAACTGAGAGAGAAGGAAGGGTGCGGGCTAGGGTTAGCCAGTGCAGAGCCTGTGCCTGGGGTGCCTGTGCTGGCTGGCTCTTTAGATGGCCCTGGCTTCCGACATCCTAGGAAGGAGCCCCAGATTCCCTCAGCCTGGACCATGCAGGCCACACCCTGCCATACACACCCGGCTCCCCACGCAGCGGCCTCGGGACGTCCTGCAGCAGGAGGAGCCCCCACAGAAGGCTGAGCGGCGACAGAGACCCCATCCTGGGGCCGGGTCAGCCTCACAAGCCCGCAATAGCCCCGAGGAGAAGCGGGAGCCTTCGCCGCACGGCCGACGCCATATTGCCAAGCTGCACGCCCGCAGCCATGGCAACCACCAATCGGTGACGGGCATGTCGTGATTGGCCCGGGTCAAGAGAGCCTGCTTCTGCCTGTCCAGCCACAGTATCAATAGCTATGGCAACCACCAATCCATGATTGCTTCAGAGCAGGAGCTCCTGCTCTCCAGTCCTGGCCCTGCCCACCGGGCCTCGTTCGGTTTTGCAGCTCTGTACTCCCAGTGGACATCGTCAGTTCTTTCCATCCCAAATATCAAGATACCACACTGCGAGGCTGGAGAGATGTCTCAGAGGTTCAGAGCACTTGCTGCCCTTGCAGAGGATCAGAGTTCCCAGGGTTCCCAGAACTCACGTGGTGGCTCACAACTTTCTGTAACTATAGTTCCAAGGGATCTGATGCCCTGTTCTGGTCTCCTTAGTCACTACATGTACATGGTGCAAATACATACATACATGCAGGCAAACAATCAGACACGTTTAGTAAAACTTATTTCTATCAGAATTGTAAGTGGGTAGGGGAGCAGAGAGGTATTTGTGCTCTAGATCAGTAATTTTAAAGAATTCTAAAGACGTAGTTTGCCAGGCTTATGTTGGTTCTGCCAGGCCACCGTATGCCATTTCTGGAAGACCACTGTACACTACACAACATCCCGGGCATGGTTCTGGGTACTCCTATATCGAGGTCATACTCTGCATCTCATGTTTTCTCTATGGTGACACCAAGTGCTCTATGAACAAAGCCAGAGAACCTTAGAATATTATCCCAAAGTGTCTCTTGCTTAGTTACCATATTCAAAATCTATGTATTATTGGTTTGGCCCAGGCCATGTTCTGGGTTTCCTTCAATCCCAGCCAAAGATGATTCATTACCCCCAGCCAGTGTCATGCAAAATCCTCCAATGGTAAAGGCTAGTTAAAGCTGGGCAGTTCACACATGCCCTTAATTAAAACTTGGTCCTCCCTTCCAAAGCCAGGTAAGCAGCCACTTCCACCCTCCATTAGCCATAATGGCTTGGGCTGCCCACTGACACCTCAGGCTGGTCTGTGATCAGCAGTGGCTCTACAGCAATAGCTGAAAGACCTGTGTTTGCCACTGCAGCCTTTGCATGTAGGCCCTCCAGGCACCAGCTGTAGGCAAGTCTATGCCACAGTTCATCTTACAGAAAAAGGCAGGGACAGTGCCACAGTGAACTGAATGGAGACAACTCATGAGTCAGATCTATTCTTCAGCCATGTGGCCTGGGGATCAGTCAGGTCACAATACCTGCTGAGCCATCTTGCCAGCCTGCTGATTTTTTGTTGTTTGGGTTATTTTTATTCCATGTGTACGCATATCTGTGTACCACGATTTTTGCCTGGAGCCTGTGGATGCCAGAAGAGGGCATTCAATCCCCTGGAACTGGAGTTACAGACTGTTGTGAGATGCTATGTGAGTGCTGGGAATTGAACCTGGGTCCTCTGGAAGGTCAGTGCTCTAAAAAAGTTTTTAGTAATTAAAAAAACAAAACAAAAAACTGCTCAATGCAAGCCAGGTGGTGGTGGCACACCTCTAATCCCTGCACTCAGGAGATGGAGGCAGACAGATTTCTGTGAGTTCGTGGCCAGCCTGGTCTACAAAGTAAGTTCCAGAACAGTAAGGGCTGTTACACAAAAAACCCTGTCTCAAAAACAAAACAAAAATGCTCAATGCAAATATCTAGAAAAATACTTCAAGGAAAATTAGTAAATATAAAAATAGAATTTTTATTGTTGAAATTACAAGTGTTTCTATTGAACTAATTTACATTTCTAGTATTCCCAGTTCTCCAATATTATTCTATTAAAAAAAAATGACAGAATTATACAGATAGGACAGATAGTTCCTTTTCCCCTGTTAAGTGGCTCTCTGACCCCGCCAACAATTCTTTCCTTGTGTGTCTGATAAACTTTACTACAACCCAGTGCTCACTCTCCTTGTAGATTTAAACTCAGGTTTTATACATTTTTGGTGGAAACCATCACTAATAACTTTGGTTAACTCTGCAAATATGCTGGTGTATCAGAGGAGTATAGAACAGCTAACCCTGAAGGGAAGACCTGAGTCCATCGAGTTCATGTACACTTCACTACTGGTTTTTGCTTTGTTTTTGTAAACAAGGTGGCAAGATGCAGCCGTAGCTGGTTTGAACTTACTATGGAGACCAGGCTGGCCTCAAACTCTGCTCCCTGAGTGCTGGGACTGAAGGCTTGTGCCTTTAGGTCAGGTTACATTTGAATATAAAGGAAATGTTCATTTTCTTAAAAGACAGGATGTGTTTGTGTGCATATGTTTATCTCCCAGGTAAGATCTGAACCCAAAACCTTCCTGAATCAGTCTTCCAAGTTCAGGATTCTAGGCATGTACCACCTGTCCAACCAAGACACTCTATCATAACTGCTAACGACACAACGCTGGTCACTCTCTTAAGTGCATTCTAACTTCACACACTGCCCATCTGTAAGTACAGAAGAGCCAGAATCTACCATGATAAGCTTTGACAGAGGACCATTTAAACACAAAATCCCAGGGGGGCTGCAGCTCAGTGGTGGGTACTGGTCAAGGACATGCCAGGCTGGGGTTCAACAACCAGCCCCAAGGAACAGAGCAACAACAAACAGAGCAGTACCAGCCAGGTTCTGCCAAGCAACTGCTACCTTAAAACAATAAACAGAAAGTCCTAACACTGTGCTTGTCCCCCTTTACAGATAACATCAGAGGCTTGGGGAGCACTTCAGCTCCACCCCACAAGCAGGGATGAGAACAGTTTTCCCCAGGGAGTTGGCTGTGGTAAGAGATGGGGACGCATGTGTTGTTCATCACAGAGACACCTTCTGTTTCTTTTTCTTGGCCTTCAGTACAGGAGGGAGGGAGATCTTAAAGGCTGTCCTGCAAGGAGAGAGAAAAGAAACATTTCAGGGCTGGGAGCTCTCAGGAGCCCATGCCCACTCAGCACCTGTGAAGATACTCACTCGCACGTGGTGCAGATGGGGCTGAAATTGCAGAAAACTGTTAAAAATGCAAAAGAACAAAGAAATAAGGATTTGAAAACCAGATCACTTTCTGTGCTGCCCCCTCCTCCAATACAGACAGTAAGAAAAAGTACACATCAGCTTACTGGACAGACACACGGAGCAGACATAGCCAATCTCAATGAGACTTCGATGACAGAAGCAGGCAGCCCTGTAGTCCACATGGATCGGAGGCGGGAGGATTAGCTGAGATCGCTGATCTTGATCCGGAAGAAAAACCCACTGTTTAAAAAATAGAAAGAACAGGAACTTTTTTTTTTTTCCAAGACAGGGTTTCTCTGTGGCTTTGGAGGCTGTCCTGGAACAAGTTTTTGCAGACCAGGCTGGTCTCGAACTCACAGAGATCCGCCTGCCTCTGCCTCCCGAGTGCTGGGATTAAAGGCATGCACCACCAACGCCCAGCTTAGGCAAGGAACTTTTAATTAAATCACAGGAGGAAAACTGCAACAGTCCAGACACACAGACACACAGACACACAGACACAGACACACACAGACACACAGACACACAGACACACAGACACACACACACACACCAGCCTTAGCCAATCAGCACACACACACAGCAGGCTTAGCCAATCAGCACACACAGCAGCCTTGGCCAATCAGCACTGAGGAGAATGCTAAATAAGGACTGTCCTTTGGGGCCTGCAAGATGGCTCAGTGGGCTAAGGTACTTGGCACCAAGTCTAACGGATGAGCTGAGTTCCATTCCTGGGAACCATGTGGTAGAAAGAGAACTGATACCTGCAAGTTGTCTCTGCCCTCCACATGCACTCAGTGGGAAGCATGCACACACACACATACATAAAATGCAAACAAAAACAATTTCTGGGGCTGGAGAGATGGCTCAGCAGTTAAGAACACTGGCTGCTCTTCCAGAGGTCTTGAGTTCAATTCCCAGCAACCACATGGTGGCTCACAACCATCCATAATGAGATGTGGTGCCCTCTTCTGGTCTGCAGGGATACATTCAGACAGAACACTGTACACATAATAAATAAATAAATATTTAAAAAAATAATTTCCTTCAACGCCTGCTAAAATTCATTTTTATTCATCCCACAATTATCTAAAATTGTTTTTTTTTTATTTTATTTGTGTGCTTGTGTGTGAGCACATACATGTGGTAGTCAGAAGACAACTGGTAGGGAGTTGGTTCTCTCCTTCCACCGTGTGGGTCCTGGAGATGAACTCAAGTCGTCAGGCTTGGCAGCAAGCACCCTTACTTACTGAGCCACTTCACACTTAAGCACTGTGTGCTACATAATCACATGACCTCTGCAAACAACTTTCAGAGTTGAGAGATCTGGAAGTCCACCCTCCTAGGCCTGGGAACTCTGAAGCCACTCTCTGCACGCAATTCCTTCCCTGGGATGCTAGAGGTGGTGGGCTGCCGCCACTGTAACTCACCAGTAAGTACTGCAGGAGAGAAGGCATCTGAGGCACCTTCAGGTACAATCCCCCTGTGATGTCACAAGCCTGCAAGAGAGAGGGGTTACTACCAAAGCAGAACCTCAGCATTCCCAGGGGAGTGGGTTCATGGGGACTCCACAGGTCTATAAGGTCAGCTGGTATGAGGTTCGTGTACTCATTACCATCCATGCTACAGACACTAGCACACACCTGTGCTCGATTCCCAGGCTATGAGACAAATTGTGTCTCCCGAGGTGAGCTCCTAGAGCTGCCGACAGACAGGACACCCCCCTGGCAGCATCACTCTCTGCCCTCTGTGCCATGCAGCATATTCTGAGTTTCCCAATGCTTTGCTTTAAATAAAGTTTTCTTGCTAGTTTTAAAGAGGGAAAAGAAGAGCTGGTGGCCACAAAACTCATGTTACATTTTATAATTTCTATGACAATCAAGTGGGGTGATGGGGAAAGAAAGCTGACAGAAGGCAAGGGCCAAGCCTAGGCAGCAAGGGGACAGCAAGTGCCAAGGCACTTGGTCACAGTAGGCCAGGTTAACTGTGGTTTTGGGCAACACCAAGGGGTCAGTAGGGGGCCCAGAAGGAAAAAAGAGAAGATGTGGGGTGAACACAGCCTTTCTTATGCCATCAGCTACTTTCCAACTCCCAAGATGACAGACTGGATGGTAGAGTAAGTACCAGATGTCTGCAGGTCCCACAGACTGGTTAGCTAGGAAAGAAGACAGGAGGTGGGGTTCAGGATCTATTCCGAGGGCAGATTCAACCAGATCACAGCGATATGGAAGGAGAGGAAGATAAAGAGGAAAGCCAGGCTGACTGCCCAGAGAATCATACTGTACTCAGAGATGAGGCTCAAGTTTGGGAGAAGCCACTGCACAGAAAAAGCAGGAGCTCTGTTCTGACACAGTGACTTGCCATGTCTGAGAGGTGCATGTGCACTCCAGAAGAAGCCTGCCTGGACTCAGGTATCTTAGTGAGGAACAGGGTGCCAGAGGCAGCTTTCTGTCAGAGTCGAGATCTCCAAGTTAAGGACACTCTGAGAGCTGAAACAGGCAGCTATTAATCAGGACACCTTGAGAGCCTAATAGTGAAGTGCAATGGGAGCTGCAACAGGGTGCATGCAGAGACACAGGGTGGCCGAGGAGCTAAAGGAAGGCAGCAGTTACCCTCATCTGAACATGACACGTGACAAAAGCACTGAATGTCACATGGCACCCACAGACAGGACTAATTCCTATATTGTGTTTCATCCTCACAGGGTGGGGGCCCTAGATTTTAAATAAATGAATATGTAATTAATTCTTAGGTATCTCTAAACAGTTTCTTAACACCCATTCTTATGCAAAAAAAAAAAAAAAAAAAAAAAAAAAACCAGGATAGGTGGTGGTGGTACATGCCTTTGATCCCAGCAATGGGGGCGCAGAGACAGGTGGATCTCTGTGAATTAGAGGCTAGCCTGGTCTACAGAGCAAGTTCCAGGACAGCCAGAACTACACAGAGAAACCCCATCTCAAAAATAAAAATATATTGCATGCCTACTGTCAAGCAGAGCCTAAGCAGCAGCCAACCTCAGCACCCTCGGACCAGTGCTCTATCTCATTCCCTCAGCCCAAGCACCAGCCTAGACTCAAGGCTGTTCTCTCCACTCCCACCCCTATCTGATTGGCTGATCTTCAAGGATATAATTTTTTAAGGAAAATTTGAATGGGGAAGGGATGTTAACAATTTTCTTTACATATATGATTTGTGTGTGCGTGCACAGGCAAACCACAGCACACAAATAGAGACCAGAGGAAAATGTGAGGCGTTGGCGCACTCCTTCCAGCATACGGGTCCCAGGAATGTAACCCAAGTCATCAGCTTTGGGTACAGGCACCATTAGCCACTGAGTAATCTCACTGGCACACAAATACTTCTTAGTCATCCACAGCTTGCCGATTATTTCAGGTATGGGTACTTTTACCCTCCTCCCCATTCTGGTAAAATTAAAAGATTCAGTTTCAAACTTCTCTCCAAAAGCAGTATCTAAAGCAGGAAAACTGCCATGAATGTGAAACCAGCCTGGGCTAGAGTAAGAGCTTACCACCCCACCCCAAAGCAACATCTTGTTGTGGGATATCTGTACACTGTGTGAAGATGTGTTGCTGTGAGTGGTATAATAAAAGGCTGAACACTCGAAGCCAGGCAGGAGAGTATAGGTGGGACTTCTGAGCAGAGAGAGAGAGAACTCTGGGAGGGAAGTTCTCCCGCCAGACTGGAGGAAGCATGATGGGCAGTATGAAGATGAGGTAATGCCACATGGCAGAACATAGATGACTATAAATGGGTTAATTTAAGTTATAAGAGCTAGTTTGGAACAAGCCATCTAAGTCGACATGTCATTATTTGCACGCTAGCAGTGCCAATGAGAAAGTATAACTACAACATCTAACAGTAATTCCCAAGACATATATGATGCAATGTGTAGAATTTACATTTTCCTTGAAAATTAAATTATTTCCTAGTAAATTTAAGGGGGGAGGCATGGTGTCACACACTTTTTAATCTCCACACAGGCAGGCAGAAGCAGGCAGACCTCTGTGAATTTCAGGTCCAGTTACAGCTATATAGTGAGACCCTGTCTCAAGACAAATAACCAGAAACAGATAAAAATCCATTTTAATTACATATTAAATTCAATATAACCAAGATACCCTCTCTGTCTCTGCAGTCTTACTCAGTAGCCCAGGAGGCTATCCTCAAATCTCATGATCCCCCTGCCTCAGCTTCCTGACTTCTGGGATTGCTGGAGTGTGTCACCATGCCTGTCAAAGGCATTACCATCCCTACAAGTAACTGATCCTCAGACCGTTCCTGTTGGAAAGCCTGGCTACTGCCATGCATTCCTTGAAAACATACCTGCTGGAGGAGCCCTGAATCCGAGTCTAGGATGCAGGCGTCAATGAGAATGTTCTGAAAGGAGCATTTCAAAACAAAGCAATGGTTATAGCTGGTTCAGACCTGCTGAACTCTATTCTCCTGTATCATTTTTTTGACACAGGGTCTCAACTCTGACATGGAACTTGTGCTAATCCTCCTGCCTCTGCCTCCCCAGTGTTAGTACAGATGTGTCTCATTTTGTGCAGCTAGACTCTATTCCTAAAATGGTCCCTATAACATGTTTGGCAATGCTGTAAAGTGGACCCTGAGGTATATTTGGCATCTGAAGCATCCAATACAGGTCCTAACTCCTGTATCCAAAGCCTGACCCCTTTTCACTGCCACATTCTCCATGCTGAAGATAATACAGGGCTCTAGTCATGCTGTATGTTGGAACTGAGGTTTAGAGAAGGGGGCTGGAGAGATAGATGGTGCAGTGGTTGAGAGCACTGGTCTCTCTTCCAGAAGTCTCTGATTCAATTCCCAGCAACCAGATCGTATCTCACAACCACCTGTAACTCTAGTTTCATGGGATCTGACACCCTCTTCTGGCTTCTACAGGCACCAGGAATGCACATGTTGCACATCTATACATGCAGGCAAAACACTTAAACACATTAAAACAAAACAGGGAAAGAAGATGATGTATCAGGTTATCTGAACATCTCAGTTATTTATAAAGTACACACCACACTACAATAAGAAGAGGCAGAATGGCACACACCTGTTATCTTAGCTACCTAGCAGACTGACACAGGTGCTTCTCAAGTTCCAGGCCTGTGTGGGCTACAGAGAGCTCATGTCAGCCTGGGAAGGTTAACAAGAGCCTGTCTCAATACAAAATGAGAATAGACTGGGGACACTCAGGTCATGTAGAGCTTGCCACACATGTGAAAACCTTGAGTTTTCACTGCCAAAAATTAAGAAAAGGGAAGAAGAGAAAAGAAGCTGAGGGTTGCTGTATCAAACTGTCAACCCAGAGATTCTTAGCCACATGTGGGCTAACAGGATGAGTACCATGACACCCAATGCAAAATCAAGCTTGAGTGCATAGCTCTGGGAACACTGCCCAGTCACAAGGACCCAGGACCCTAAACAGAAAAATGGCAGGTACCCAGTGTGGATTCTGAATCCCCAATCCACTAACAGGGCTCTTTAGCCTGAACACCACTGTGAAAGAATGACAGTGGTCACATTTTTTTTTAAAGACGGGATCTCTCTACTTAGCCTCAGATCTGTCCTGGAACCCTCTAGATAGACCATGCTGGACCCAAACTCAAAAAGGTGTGCATCACCACCCTCGGCCTCTGATTACTTCTTTCGGGGAATTAGTAAGGCTTAAGCCTCACCTGCTTCTGAGCAGCGAAGATGACATTCATGAAGTTCATGTACTGCAGTGCACTGTCCTCTGCAGCCTTGATCACCTGCAAACACAGCCATTAGACCTCAAGTACTTCCCACGACTCAGTGTGACATGACCTACTGCAAGCCACAGACAGTACCACTTCTCCAGTCCATCTTCCTACTTAGTACTAAACCCCTCAAGTGTAAGGTGACAGCAGGTCTTTCCTAGTCCTTGTTAAGACTGATGGGCATCTGTCCAGAGTATCCAGCATGCACTGGGAGGCCAGGGGACAACTATTGGGAGTTAGGTGTCTTCTTATATTTAGGTTCCTGGGGACTGAAGTCAAATCACCAGGATTTCGACCAAGCACCTTCACTGACTGAGCCATCTTACTGGCCCAAGAGCTCTTGATTTTAGAAATATTAATTTTCTATAAAAGTAGCAATGTTGAAAATGCTTTTCCAGGGCTGGAGAGATGACTCAGAGGTTAAGAGCACTGGCTGCTCTTCCAGAGGTCCTAAGTTCAATTCCCAGCAACCACATGGTGGCTCACAGCCATCTATAATGAGATCTGGTGCCCTCTTCTGGCCTACAGGCATACATGTAGGCAAAACACTGTATACATGATAAATAAATCTTTAAAAAAAAAGTAAAAAAAATTTGCTTTTCCAGATGCCTTTGTGAGACAGGTCTTACTGTGCAGTCCTGGATGACCTGGAACTTGATATGTAGATCACATTGTCCTTCAACTCACAGAGACCAGCCTGTGTCTCCCTCCTCCAATGCTGGAATTAAATGCATGTGATACCATGCCAGGATCTATTCCCATGTTTTTCAGCTGTCTGCAGTTGTGTATAATCTTATCAGTAAGTTGTATATAATCTTACCAATATCCTTGATTTCATCTCCTGATTATCTGTAAAGAGATAAAAACATAATTTAACAAACAAGGTAGCTAAAAAAGCATATGGGTTTTTTTAAGCAACTTTTATTTTATATTATTTTGATACAGGGTCTCACTATACAACCCTGACTGGCCTGGAACTTGCTATGTAGACAAGGCTGGCCTTGAACTCACAGATATCTGCCTGCTTCTGCTTCTAAATTCTTAAACAGCCCACCAAGCATGCAGCACTAAAATTAAAAGGTGATAGTTGTAAAATAATCAGTTCCTACCTTTAACTGCCTTGTTCATTCTGTGAATGTCTGGATTCATTAACATTAAGGAATATAAAAATTCTGCTTCACAAACATCTGCACTAACAGGAAAACAGACCTTCAGATTTTAAATCAGCCCCCTCCCATCTTTTGCCATGACAGCCATGTGCCTGGGCTTGGGTTCTGTTAACCATTCTGTACTCACCAAGGAAAGCATGACCTCTGCAAGTGAAGACCACAATACTAACAGCTGACTGTCCACCATCCTAGATACCAATACTGGGACCACACCCAAACCAGTCAGTCCATCCAGTGAGATGATGAATTTGAAAGCCACACAAAGAGGATCTGGACAACTGGATAAAAACTCCAGGTTGTAAACAGTACTCGATACCATTCACAAAAGCAAGGCTGAGAGTCCATGACACATGAAATCAGATGCCTGGAAGTCTGGCTGCCCTATGCTTCAGACAGGTCACCTGCTCACCTACAGAGTACCACTCACAGCTGGGCGTTGGTGGCGCACGCCTTTAATCCCAGCACTTGGAAGGCAGAGGCAGGAGGATCTCTGTGAGTTCGAGGCCAGCCTGGTCTCCAGAGCGACTGCCAGGATAGGCTCCATGGCTACACAGAGAAACCCTGTCTCAAAAAACCAACAACAACAACAAAAAAAAACAACAGAGTACCACTCACTAATTAAGTTGTGAGGTCAGTAAACAGCTTTTAAAATCAGTACTGGAGATGCCGACCAAGGAATAAGACCAAAACAAGCACCAGGCTATCAGAGTAAGAAGCAAGAAGCTGGAGAGATGGCTCAGTAGGTCACAGCACCGGCTGCTGATGCAGAGGACCTGGCTGGTTCCTAGCATATACCTGGTGGGTCACATCCACGTGTAACTCCAGTTTTAGGGGATTTAATGCCCTCTTTTGACTCCCATAGGTACCAGAAACCCACAATGTACACAGAGATGTACACAGGCAAAACATTCATTCTTTTTTTTTTTCAAGATTTATTTATTTATTACATATAAAGTGTTCTGCCTACATGCCAGAAGAGGGCCCCAGATTGAATTGTAGATGGTTGTGAGCCACCATGTGGTTGCTGGGAATTGAACTCGGGACCCCTGAAAGAGCAGTCAGTGCTCTTAACCTCTGAGCCATCTCTCCAGCCCCCAAAACATTCATTTTTAAGATAAACAAAACAAAAGAAACAAAGGAATACCTCACCTGGAAGCAGCGCCAGGTTCTTCAAATGGTCATGGGAACAACCTGAGGGGCCAAAGGAGCTAGGGAACAAGGTCTAGCAGAAGCCACCAGTTAAACACCCTCACTACGAAAGACTGTTTTAGAATGCACCAGCATAAGGATACAGCAGAGGGCTTTGGCGAGGGATCCTGCTAGTAGTGTCTCTGTGTGCTGGCCCTTTATGTCACCTGCAGGTATTAAAGAGCACAAATGGGGGAAAGTCTGAGTCTTTTGAAACTCAAGTATTCCTAAATAAATCAAAAGAAGACATGTTTAAAGTGGATTTCAAAATAAAGAGACCAGTAACCATTAAGCCCAAGTAAGCTACTCCTCACCTCTTTTCAAAGTGTCCCATGCAAAATTTTTTATGGAGAGGAGAGGCAGAGATGGGAGTTGGTATTTAAAGTAAGAAGAGGGACTGGAGGTGACTCTGATTCAGTGTTTAAGAGCTCTAAATGTTCTTCCAGAGGACCTGGGTCCAAGGCCCAGCATCCATGTGGTGGCTCACAACCATCTATAACACCAGTTCCAGGGTTTCTGATATCTTCTTCTGGTCTTCACAAATCAGGCACACACATGGTGCATAGACACACATGCTGGCAAAACATCCATGCACATAAAGTAAAATAAACCAACCCAAAAGATAAAAAAATAAAGGACATGGAGTTTCATTTAGGATAAGGTTCTTGAGATGGCTGTGAAACAGTGTGTACACCTAGCCTACTCATCTGCACACTCAGGTTAAAATGGAGTCAGGTATGGAAGCCGACACCTTTAATCCCACCACGATGGAGGTAGAGGCAGCTATCTGTGAGTTTGAGGCCAGCCTGGTCTACACAGCAAGCTCCAAGACAGCCAGGGGTACACAGGGAGATTCTGTCTCAAAAAAATTTACTGCTTTGGAACTCAATGTTTTTTTGTTTTTTGTTGTTTAAATCTCTCTCTCTCTCTCTCTTTCTCTCTCTTTCTCTCTCTCTCTCTCTCTCTCTCTCTCTCTCTCTCTCTCTGTGTGTGTGTGTGTGTGTGTGTGTGTGTGTGTGTGTATGTATGTATGTATGTATGTATGTATGTACATGTGCATGAAGCTTGCAGAGGCCCAAAGAGGGTACTGGCTTCTCTGGAGCTGGAGTTAGGGAAGGTGTTAAGCCTCCCTACATGGGTACTGTGAACCAAACCTGGGCCCTCTATGACAGCAGCTGTTAACCTTTCAACCATCTCTCCATTACTAGAACTTAATTACTTTTTTAAGTTTACAGCTTTATGCCCGTCTCCATGATCTATTTGTTGAACAGTTTCTATTGTCTAAGACCATGGGGCCCACATGTCTGTCCCAGCCCTGGGACACTGTCAACCCCTTCTCAACCCTAGATTTCCTTTTTCCTCCAGGTGACTGCTGCAGACCAAAGGCTGAAAACCATGGCAGGTTACAGGGATGCTAGAGCCCCAAACTGGGAAAGGCACTTTTGACTTTTAAAATGACAACACTGGAGGGTGTGGTGATTTGGATGAGATGAGCTGCCACATGCTTAGACATTTGCATTCTTGGTTCCCCAGTTGGAGGAACTGTTTGGGAAGTATGGCCTTGTTGGAGGAAGTGTGTCACTCAGGGTGGACTTTATGGTTTCAAAAGCTCAAGCCATTCCCAGTTAGCTCTCAATCACAAGTCCATGCTTTTGAATTAGATGTAAATTCTCAGCTCTTGCTCCAGCACCAAGCCAGCCTGCTTGCCACTATGTTTCCCCCCATGAAGGTCAAGGGTTCTACCTTTTGTGACCATGAATCTGAAATTAAATGCTTTCTAAGTTGTGCTGGTCAGTGTCTTATCACAGCCATAGAAACATAACTGAGACAGACGGACTCATGAGCCTCTCCTGGCTGAGGAGCCATTAACAACTGATGGCCTGTGTGGAGAGCTTGGCTTTTCGTAAGGGTGTGGTCCACACCTATGAATATATGGGCAGTCTATGTGGATTTTTGTTTTTTAAAACAAAATCTCTCTAGATTGCCCTGGCTGTCCTGGAACTGGATATGTAGACCAGGCTAGCCTGGAACTCATAAGAGGTCTGCTTGCCTCTGTCTCCTGAATGCTGAGATCAAAGGCATTTGCAACCCTAGCCAGATTGTTTAAAAAAAAAAAAAATGGACATACATTTGGGAGAGGGTGAGGATAGGAGTTAGGAATAAGAATGGGGCTGGTAAATATCACCAAAATACATCGTAGGCATGTATGAAATCCTCAAAACAGTTAATATAAAAACCTTACATTTTAAAAACATACAGCAATTACCACTACAGGGAGATGACAGTGACAATAGCCAGGCTCTTACTCTTGGTCATCAGATCTTTGATCTCCTCGGCGATCACATCATTTGCTGCTGTCAACAGCTCATATTTGCCATCTTTACTCCCAGAGGGATTACAGTCAGGAAAGGGGTTGCCAGGGTCTCCGAAGAAGTCTCCAAGTCTGCCGTTCTTCCCCGGGTATAAGAAGCGACTGACAGGGTAGAAAAACCAGAATGTATTATACACATGTATGAAACTGTCAAAGACCTAGAAAGCAGCCTCCCACAGCAGAGCACTGGCTCCTACCTTTCCTGAATGTGACTGGCTATCACAGCCAGCTGGTTGGAGCGGTGCATGAACAGATGGGAATTTGCCAGCACCATCACAGCATCCATGCACTTGGATAAAGTAAACTGACAAACACGAGAAAAACAAGTCAGCTCCTGCAGAAAACGTCACTGAAAAACCAATTATTTATTACTTAGTTTTATTTACTTATATACTGTGGTGTGTTTAAGAAAGGGTCTTCCCCTGGGTGCCCTGATGCTCACTGAATAGCAACAAATGTCCAACAATTCATCTGTCTCTATCTCCCCATGTCACGACATGTATCACTGTGTTCGGATAGTCCTGACATCAGACACAATGATTCAACACTAAAAATTTCCTCAGCTTCACCTCTCCTAAAACCTGGAGCACAACGCCTGAGGGGAGGCGTTCTGACTTTAATGACACAAATCATTTATAGGTTAGAACATTATTTTTCAAATACTGGCATTACATGTAATGCCAGTAACCTAGGAAACCTTGAACTTAGGAGACAGAGGCAACTGGACCAGAAGTTCAAGGTCATCCTCAGGCTGTACAGCATGCTAAGGCCAGCCTGAGTTTCTGCATTGAAAAAAAAATAATAAAAGCACAATCAAGCCAGGAGGTGCGCACACCTTTAATCCCAGCACTCGGGAGGCAGAGGCAGTCGGATCTCTGTGAGTTCAAGACCAGTCTGATCTACAAGAGCAAGTTCCAAGACAGCCTCCAAAGCCACAGAGAAACCAAAAAAAGCACAGTTTTGTTTGTTTTAATACATAAACCGTGTTTCATCAAAATTTAAAACTTGGGTCAATGAGATGGCTCAGCAAATATAAGAACTTTGATGCCTGGGACCCACTTGGTGAGAAGAGCGAACTAACTCGAGACCTCTACAAGCACCCAAATATCCATACATATACACAAAAAATAAATGTAAAAAAAAAAAAAAAAAAAAAAAAAAAAGACCTTGTCCAAAGACAAGGTCTGATGGGTTACCTCAATGGTTAAAGGCACTTCCCACAAGTCTGATGACCCAAGTTCAAGCCCCAGAGCCCACATGATTAAAGCAAAGAACAGACACCCAAAAGTTGTTCACTGACCCCCATATAAGTGCTGTGGCACACCGTAACCCCCACCCCATGTAAATATATAACAAAAGATGCCCACTCATACAATAGATATATCAACTGCTTAGAGAAGCAAAATAGCCAGGAGGCAACCAATGGCTGCCTGAACATGTAGGATGGAAGCAGGAATGATGGTCCACAGGTTTGAGAACTTCATGTGTGTCCTGAGAAGGAACTGTGGGGGCTGGTTATACAACTCCCTGGTCTGTACAGTACAACTGGTGGCTTTTACACACCCACAGCTTTCCTTTCTTGAGAGTGTATCCAGCAGCCCAGATGGCCAGAGATGAGCTTGACCTCCGGTGATCTGCCTGCCTCCACTTGAGTGCTAGGACTGGACGAGGGCCTCCACACCCAGCTTGTAAACACTCAATACTGCTTGCAGGGTAGTGGGTGGCATACAGACATACTGAAGTTAAGGAGAATCATTGGAAGGCTCAAGCCATCTTACCTGAGATCCCTTTAATGCTTGCTTTCCCCACCAAATCGGGTTGGTGTCAACTATGATAACCAGAAGATTCAACTCATCTTCTGCTAACAGGAACAAGAGCAACATTTTAAAATGTCAGCCTCATGAAACTGAAATACAGATAACATTCCTGAGGGTCAATCAATCACCCAGAGGCCTTCAAATGGTTATCATCCTCTGATGGATCATGAGCTCACCGAAAGGGCCAAGTTCCCTTAAAGGTTAAGGGCTGAGGACACAGCTAAATGATAGTGTGCTTGCCCTCTACTGGGGAAGTCCTTGGTTTGATAGCTGGTACCTCTTTAAAAAAAAAATAGGGCCTGGCGGTGGTGGCACTCTTGAGGCAAAGGCAGGTGGATCTCTGTGAGTCCAAGACCAGCCTGGTCTACAAGAGCTAGTTCCAGGACAGCTAGGGCTGTTACACAGAGAAACTTTGTCTCAAAAAACAAAAAACTGTTCAGACTGGCCTTGAACTTGGTAACCTCCTACCTCTTTAAGTATCTGGGATTACAGGCATCTGGCACCACACCCAGCCAAGAGCATACACTTCCAAAGGACAAAGCAATCCTGCCAGTGCCTGTTATCACGAAAAGCCTGGGTGCTCATGTAATAGCACAAGGCAGTGTTCACTTTACTGCCTCCTACCTTCCTTCCTGCATCCCCTGCTCCTTCTTAAGAATCACCCTGCACCTCTGGTTTCTGCAGAACTAAATCCTACTTGCTCTTACTTCCTTTCTAGTACCAAGTAGCTTGAGAAAGAAAACAATGGGTTGCCTGTCAGAAACGTGCACATGAAACACCTCTGCCAATTTCCTTCAGCCTGTGCCTCATTGGCTAAGAAGCCATGGCAGGCCTGCCTTTCTCACAGAGGTGGGAGTAACAGCTATGGTTGCTGAATGCACCTCTCTAATTACTCTTGCCCCCCACAATCCATTCTTCACACAGGAGTCAAAGTGATGCTTCTAATGTTATCCATCTAGATAATTCTGGGCCAGCGAGAGGGCTCAGCTGGTAAAGGCGACTGCTGACAAGCCTGAATGAGTTCAATCCCTGAGACCTAAACAATCAATAAGAGAACTATTCCCACAAGTTGTCCTCTGATTTCCATGAGCATGCTCGAGTGCACACACACACACTAATACTAAATCAGTAAATGCAAGAATCATTGGGAGGAAATGTAATTTAAAAGCTGTAACTAGTAGCTTAGAGTATGAATAAGAGCCTCCCACCTCCCTCTATCCTCCAACTGCCCAGTTTACTCTTCTAGGTTTAACCTCCCAGGATGTCTGTACTTTAAATGAACTTCATAATGTCGCTCAAGCCACAGTTGTAGTGTCTCCATCTTTCCTGAACTCCTAACGAAAGATAGTCCTCTTGAACTTAGTTGCCACACATCTGTCTTCATAGCCCTGGTGGCCTCTTGGAAGTAATTTCACCTGCCAATTGCCTCTCTCGACCCTAAGACACTACACACTCAAAACTTTCCTGTGTTGAGTTCTGTGCTGTAGTCTCCAGTTTGGAAAATAGTGTCCAGTACACAGGGGGCAATCCCATTATTCGCTGAATGACACACTGGGCATGCTAATGCGGGCCTGTAATCCCAGAACTCGGAAGGCTAAGGCAGGTTGAGCGAGCGTCTATATAAAAAATAATTAGGGCTGGGGATGTGGCTCAATTGGTAGAATGCCCATTGAGAATGCACAAAGGTCTGAGCACCACGTAAAATCGAGCTTGATCGGGCACGCCTGTAATTCCCTGCACTCCAAAGCAGACTGGAGGATCAAGAGTTCAAGGCCATCCTTCAGCGAGTTCTACGTGACACCCTGTCTCAAAAATGAAATCGCTGAGTGAATGGACGAATACACTGGCTGCTCGTCTAAAGACCAAACGCGTCCCTCCCAGCCATGCTCCGCGTTCCGGTCCGTGCCACCCTCACCGTCAGCAGCCATGGCGCCCCTAAGCCTCGGAGAAAAGCCGCCCACGGTTCGACGCGCGCACGACAACTTCCGGCGCTGGTGAGTGACGTAAGCCTCAAGCTGGCGGCAACGGAAATGATGCGTGAAGAGCGCGACACACTGTCAACCTGTGGCTTGCTGCCGGCGCGGTTGCGGGCTGCGGGAGGGAGCGATGGAGGACCACGGTGAGTGGGTGGCCGGAGCGGCGGGGACACACGGGTAGTCCGGGCTCGATCCGCTTCCTGCTGTCACTGCTCTTTGTGCCGTGGTCTGGGCCTCTCGGACGCTCGCAAACTGACTTCCCCACACGCTGTCCGAGCGTCCACTTCCAAAGTAACAGTGTGCAGGCCTCCGCAGCTCTGGTGTCCAGAAGGAAGACGCGTTTCCCTACTGGAAGATAGAAGGCATCTTTGGTTTGCTTGCCCATCATGGTTCTCAGAATGTTTTTGTTAAGTGAAAAAGCAAACGAATACACTGATTTTAACGAAAAAGTGAAGTAGGTAGAACTGTAAGCATTTTTACAATTGTGTTTATGCACATGAGTTAACGATTGTAGACTGCTCAAAGGCCTGCAGGAGAAAATAATAACGGGGCTGTGAGGATTCCCTAGACTACTAGCCCCTGGACTTGGTCTCTAAGTTCTCTGCCTTGCACACCAATAGCTTGTTTAAAATATGAAAGAGGTCTGTCCCTGCCAACAGTACGGAATCTTCTCTATCCCCGTCATTGTTTAATGTGCCCTGTAACTTTAAAAGCTACTTTAAAAAAAAAAACCTTTTTGCTTCTTATTCTTGAGGTCAGCAGTTGTTACAAAGTGCCCTAGCCTCATCTTGCTAAGTTCTTGTGATAACCCATTTTTTTCCTCTCTTCCTAGAGTTAATTGAATACTTCAAGTCTCAGATGAAAGGCGATCCTAACATGGCCTCAGCTGTAGCTGCCATCCGCACTTTGCTGGAGTTCTTGAAGAGAGACAAAGGTATAAAGAGTCAGCCTTGAATGGTCTGGGCCTTAGGACAGTCTTCAGATGACTTGTAGGAACGTGGACAGGGAGACATGCATGTTTGCCTACAGTCTCAAGCTCAGCTTCTGTCTCCATGTTCGCCCTTTCAGTCTGGAGGGAGCCCTCAGGCTGTCACTTAAAGGATTCCCATCCACCTACAAAATACACTGGGAGTCAAGAGTCAACAATACAGCCCTAGCCAAAAGGCTTAAATTATAGCAGTAATTTAGCTTTATAGATGAGAACCAAGCTCCTAGCTTGACCTAGATTCTGTGCAAATGCCATAGAGAATGTTCAGAACAATTCTGGTGTTTCTGGGCTATAGTGGTGCCTCACTTCATCATTGCAGGGGAGACACTCCAGGGCCTGAGAGCGAATCTCACCAGTGCCATAGAAACCCTATGTAGTGTGGACTCCTCCGTGGCCGTCCCCCCCCCTGGGTCTCTTGACTCCCCCCCCCCCCCCCCCGGAGGCCCTTCTACTTCTCTGTCTACAGATCCTGTCAGCTTTCCTGGGATCTCCCCCCTTCATTTTGCTCTTTTCTCCCCAGGATTACTCCAAATGTAAGAAGATCATGATTGAGAGAGGGGAGCTTTTCCTCAGGAGAATATCCTTGTCAAGGAACAAAATTGCGGACCTATGCCATACCTTCATCAAAGATGGGGCGGTGAGTAGATGGCCCCCTTGTGCTGATAGAATCAAAAGCTTTGGAGTCAGGGTGCTGGGCCTGAAATCCTGACTGTGCCACCATGGACAAGACACTTCTCTGTCCTGCAGTTTTCTTGTCTGTTAATAAGGACAACAGCAGCTGACAGGTTTGGTGAGGCACAAATGAGATGCAAAGTGTAGGCAGTGCTCTGTAAACACAGGTACTATAGAGGCCAGTTACCATGAATAGGAGAAGAACATGGGACCAACATAGATGAGTCTTGAGTTTAATTTTTTTTCCGTTTTGTGGAGGTGGAGATGAAAACAAGGGCCTCAAGCATGCTAGACATGCTGTACCACTGGACTATAACCATAGCTTCTTCCTTAGTAAGCTATTTTTCTAAGAAGTATTTTTAATTACATTTATTTCTTTATTAGGTGTTTGTGTGGGTATGCACAGGTGCCACAGTGAGTGTGTGGAGGTCAGAGGAGTTGGCTCTGGGGATCAAACTTGGGTCATTGGGGTTATGTTAATGACAAATACCTTTACTGACAGAGCCATTTCACCACTCTAAAGAAGTGTTTTTATAGCCAGGCAGTGGTGGCACACACCTTTAATCCCAGCACTTAGGAGATAGAGGCAGGTGGATCTCCGGGAGTTTGAGGATCAAAGCTCCACCAAGAAAGCCTGTCTCAGAAAACCAAAAAGAAAAAAGAAAAAAAAAAAAAAAGATGTTTTTATGATTGGGTTTGTAGTTAGTCCTCTAATCTGAAATGAGTCTGACCAGACCAGCTATTACCATGGTCATTGTCATGCATTTGAGCCAATATCAGCACTGGGTGGAGCTGTGACCTATCCCTAGTCAAGTGAGGAATGGCAGGTTCAGCCAGTCTTCAACTTGTCCACTCCACCGGGTAATAAAGCCTTCATGTTTTCTGAGCCAAAAGCACAGCCTTCCCCCACCTCAGCCTCCGCAAACCGTGCCTATATTTCTTGCATTATGGTTCTTAGATGTTGCCCTTGGCGTTACTGCATTTCCCACCTTTGAAGTATGCTGTTAAATATGTGACTTACTGGGAGGTGGAGTTGGGTTTGTGTTAATGGCAGTGTCAGACAGACCTGGGCCAAGTGGAGGCACAACCATGATACTACTCTGCTCAGTGTGTGGCCGTGGTGTGGGTTTCTCGCCTGCACCACCCACAGCTCTTAACCTGGGTCAACAGCTGGGTTAAAAGCAGAACTGCTGTGTCTTGAACCTTCGGGCAGATCACCCTTGGGCTTGTTAAATGAAGACTCCTCAGGTTCAAGATGAGGCCTGAGCACCTGTGATTCTAGTGAACCATGTCCACCACCTTGCCCTGTATAGTTCTCAGCATCCTAGAGCATAGGCTGTGTTCGAGTCCACACCTCATCATCTGCACCACAGACAGCTGTATTCACCCCACAGTGCTTGTCAGTTTTGGAAAATGTCTTAGCTTAACTTGTATATGGTTGTTAGATATTTATTAGGTTTTTGCCTCTTCTAGAAAAATCAGGTGGATTTGCAACAGTGGGACAATGTGACAGAAGAGGCACCTAAAGCCCAGTTGTCCTTCCACTATCAGTGGCCTCATGAAGCCAACCCATGAAGTCTCCTGGGCCTTCAGATGTACTGGCTTCTATACCTTTGGGTTCTGCTGGGGAGATCTGTGCTCTGCTTCTTGGGCAGAAGTGTTGAACTGCTCAGTGGGCTTGAACTTCAGTGGACTGTCAGAGTCACCCTCTGGGCTGTAGTTGATTTGTAGCATACAGGAGCTTCAAGTGCCAAGCACGTGTCATGTGATGGTGCAGGCATGCAGGCAATAGCTGGTTGGTAGCTTACCTCTGATGGAGGTTTCTTGTTCCATAGAGAATTTTGACTCATGCCTACTCCAGAGTTGTCCTGAGGGTCCTGGAAGAAGCTGTGGCAGCCAAGAAGCGGTTCAGTGTGTATATCACAGAGTCTCAGCCTGATTTATCCGGGCAAGTATCTTGCCACTGGCCAGTGAGTCAACATTGCCTTGAACCCATTCATAACTGTTCAGACCCTGGGAGGAAAGGTCCTGAGTTTGCAGGGGCACAGTGCAGGCTGTAGCTTTTTTGTTTCTTTTTCAATTTTTTTAAGAATCTCTCTCTCTCTCTCTCTGTCTCATTTATTACATGAAGAGTGTTCTGCCTGCATGTATGTCTGCAGGCCAGAAGAGGGCACCAGATCTCATTATGGATGGTGCTGAGCAACCATATGGTTACTGGGATTTTGCCCCGGCCCTTTGGGTCAGTCCACGGGAACCCTGGGAGAGGGGATGAGAATGAAAAGGGGCAAGAGACTGGAGAGACGGAGACAAAGACAGTATTCTTGTATCAAGTCTTGTTTATTAGACACATCAGAGGGCTTAAGTAGGGTGACAGGGTTAGGAGGCGGGAGAGGCTATTGTCCCACCAAGCAGGATGTGTTGCAAGGCGATAAGTCTGCGGCTGGGGCTCTCTTGACCACAGACATGGACATATGCTTTACAAGCAAATAAGCAGATGTAAAGAATCAGAAACTTAACTGGGCATTAGTTCCTAAAATAGTAAAAGAAGGCATAAGATATTATTTATTATGCTATCTTCATTCAGGGTCCTCTACAGGATTTGAACTCAGGACCTCTGGAAGAGCAGCCGGTACTCTTAACCTCTGACCCATTTCTCCAGCCCTTAATGTTTTTTCTTTAGGTAATTAAACCAGAAACAGCAGGAGACTGTATGAAAAGCTTTTATCAGTTGGTGATTGACAAAACCATCTCCAGAAAACACGACTTCAGTTGACTTCATTATCCAGGCTCCTTTAAGATTATAGTTTTTCTTTTGTTTTCTTTGTAGTGCTAAGGGGCGAATCCGGGTCCTGCCCATGCTAGTCAAGTACCCCAGAGCTGGACCTCCAACTCTGTAGTTTAAGAAATCGGTGCTAAGCCAGGCAATGTGATGCACACCTTTAGTCCCAGCACTTGAGAGGCAGAGGCAGGCGGGTTTCTGAGTTCAAGGCCAGCCTGATCTATAGAGCAAGTTCCAAGATAGCCAGGGCTACACAGAGAAACCCTGTCTCAAAAAACCGAAAGAAACAAACAAACTAGTGATGGCTCAGCAGTTAAGAGCACTTACTGCTCTTGCAGAGAATCTGGGTTCAATTCCTGCTACTCAAATGGTGGTTCACAACCCATTTCTAGGGGATCCTATGCCCTTTTCTGGCCTCCTCAGACACCAGGCATGTATGTGGAATGTCTGATACATCAGGCAAAACATCTATTCATATTGTCTTAGTTTGGATTTCTATTGCTGTGAAGAGACACATGACCACAGCAGCTCTTATAAGGGAAACATTTAATTGTGATGGCTTGTTTTCAGTTTCAGAGGTTCAGTCTATTATCATCATGGTGAGCATGGCAGCAGACAGGCAGACATGGTGCTGGCTACATACTGATCAGAAGGCAACAGGAAATGGACACACCTTCCTCAACAAGGCCATGCCTACTCAAACAAAACCATACCTCCTAGTGCCACTCCCTATGAACTTATGGGGGCCAGTTACATTCAAACTACCATACACATAAAATAAAAACAACTAGATCTTTAAAAAATTAAAGAACTTGGGTTCTCGTTTCCCTGGCCCAGAATCAGGACCTGCCCCTTAAGCCACTGAGGTCATAGGACATCTCTATCAAAATCAAGTTAATTCATCATGCATCACTGTGGGACTTTATTGGATTTTATCTAATGTTCTCATGCCACCTTCAGGAAGAAAATGGCCAAAGCCCTATGCCACCTCAATGTTCCTGTCACTGTGGTGCTGGATGCTGCTGTTGGGTAAGTGTGACTCACTCATGTATGCATGCTGGCTCCAAGCAGGGCTTTCAGATTGGAGTTTGAATCCTGTCCATAAAATTTGACTGAGTAGCATCTCCCTCTTAACAAATAGGCAGCCGCTCTGCAGCAGCAGGGTTATCACAAGGTCATGAGAGTACAGGAGATGGGCTGTGTGCCCAGCATTGGATCTAGGTTTGTGCATGTGAGTGGCTGGGGTCTTGTTTCTGAGACAGGCTCCTGTAGCCCAAACAGGCCCAGAACTCAACATCCCGAGTGCTGGAATTGCAGGCATGAGTGTAGTGCTCAGCTGCTCGTGTTTTCAGAGTAAAAGGCAAAGGTCAGGCTATCAGCAACAGCTAGGTGAACAGTGCACTCTGTGTCCTCAGCCATGGCTACTCAGTGACTCACTGGGAGCTTAGTCCCACCCACAAGGCCGAGGGAGGTCCCAGCTGGGTCATCAGTGTCTATCACTAAATTACAATGGTTCCTTGGGAAGCTTATTAAGGAGGTCAGTGGTGAGTTCCATAAGCATCTTCAGCAGTTCTTTCTGTCTTAAAAAGTGCACTGTGACACACCTATCATCCCAGCACTGGAAGGCAGAGGCAGGTGGATATCTGAGTTCCAAGACTACATACTGAGACCTTGTCTCAGACATTCTAATGTCCATGGCAAGGTAACTGGTAAAGGTCCCACGGCAGCTGTCTGTGGCAAATACCCTTCTGAAGATGCCAGCTGTGGAAGGAACTTACCATCATTGGACATTAACTAGAGCCAAGAAAAGTATGGACAGCTTTTCCTTTTGTTCATTTCCTCAGCTACATCATGGAGAAGGCAGATCTTGTCATAGTTGGTGCTGAAGGAGTGGTTGAGAACGGAGGAATTATTAACAAGGTGGGTACTGACACACTATCCCTGGACACCCCTGTGTCACAGCTTGACTGTGGTCAGCCTTCCTTTTTGGAGGCTGACCTTTGTGACATTTGCCAATTTACATACATTAGGTGCTTTTGTTTGGATCTGTGTTTTGACACAGGGTCTTGTATAGCTTAGGCTAGCCTCAAACTATGTAGCTGAGGCTGACCTGATCCTCCTGTCTCTGCCTCCCAAGTGCTAAGATTACTGGCATGCACTACCACACCCAGGCAAAATAGTCTCAGCTTGGAGTTGAATGACTCTGGATTTGTTTCCATTTGATTGAAGACATTCATCTCAGGGTTTCCTTACCTAGGAAACTGTCCATGACAAAACATCTTAGTTATGTTACACTATGCATGCACCATCCTAAGTCTTTGGTTCAGGGTCTTTTGGCACACTCACACCATGCTATCTGTCACTAGTGTGTTTAAAAGTTTTCTATTTGTCCCAGATGGCCTTTTTCCATGCTCCTGGGTCACCTTTGTCCTGTCCTGACTTCTCCTTTTCTAGGGACCACAACTAAGTAAATTCACATAATGCTCATGGTTTTGATCCTGACATTCTTCAACATTCTTTACTGACCATGCTGCCCCAGTATGCCCAACCACAGCCTGTGTCAGGACACTGACTATGCTCATGTTCACTTACAGTGGACACTTGGGCTTTCCCACTATTGGCTGTGGTGCGGGTACTGCTGAGACACTGGCCAGCACCTACTTTTCCCTAGCTGATGGTAATGGGCATCTGTTCATGTGGTTTGGGACTATTTATCTTAAAGAAAAAAAATGTTTTTCTTTTTTGGGGGGGTGGTGAGGTGGTGGTTTCAAGAAAGGGTTTCTCGACGGGCATTGGTGGTGCATGCCTTTAATCCCAGCACTCGGGAGGCAGAGGCAGGTGGATCTCTGTGAGTTCGAGACCAGTCTGGTCTACAAGAGCTAGTTCCAGGACAGCCTCCAAAGCCACAGAGAAACCCTGTCTTGAAAAACCAGAAAAAAAAAAAAAAAAAAAGAAAGGGTTTCTCTGGGTAGCCATGACTAGAAGTAGCTTTGTAGACCAGGCCGATCTCAAACCTGCCTCTGCCTCCTAAATGCTGGGATTAAAGGTGTGCACCACTACTGCCTGACCCCTTTTTCTTTTTTCTTCCTTTTTTTAAAAAAGATATTTCTTGCTGACCTTGAACTCAGTATGTAGTTAAGCATGTCTTTGAATTTCTAATTCTCCTGCCTCATCCCCCTGTAATCCCTCTCCGGTTTACATGTGTCCCACCAGGGCCTGATTTATGCAGTGCTGGGACTTGAACTCACAGCTTCAGCATGCTGGACAGGCATTCTGCCAGCTGAGCTAAAGAAAACAAGCCAGTCTCAAAAAGCAAAGCAAAAACCCTTCTGGTTGCTGTGCCAGAGTTACCCTCACTCTGTGCTCACCTCGAATTTCTTCCATTTTCCCTGACTTCTCAGATCGGAACCAACCAGATGGCTGTGTGTGCCAAAGCCCAAAACAAGCCCTTCTATGTGGTCGCAGAAAGTTTCAAGTTTGTACGGCTCTTCCCACTCAATCAACAAGATGTCCCAGATAAGTTTAAGGTGAGTTTTATGTATTTGACAGAAAGTTCCTCACTTCCCATTCATTCCTTTTCCTCCAGTGTGGTTGGGCCTGGCCACATGTGTGGGCAGAATCTTTAGCACATAGCACTCTGTGTGCAGAGAAGCTGTGTGGTTGGCGGTGGAACCCCTGCCTTGGGATCAACTCTTGTCTTCTTCACTCCCATCTCTATTTTTCAAAAGTGACCTTGACCAGGCCCCTCCATTGTGGCCTCTGATTGCTTACGTGGGTGGGATGGTACCCTGTGGCATGCTGTCCCTCCCAGCCTGTCACATAGCCAGTTTCTGGACACAGGGCATTCCTGGTTTCTGGACACAGGGCATTCCTGGCAAGAGCTCACTTACTGCTCAAGCTACAGCCTCAGTAGTACAGACCCTGGATAGGAGGCCAACCCAGCTAACGCAGGCTCTTCTCTCCTCAGTACAAGGCAGACACTCTGAAGTCCAAGCAGACTGGGCAGGACCTCAAAGAGGAACACCCGTGGGTGGACTATACTTCCCCGTCCTTGATTACCCTGCTGTTTACGGACTTGGGTGTGCTGACGCCATCTGCTGTAAGCGATGAACTCATCAAGCTGTACCTATGAGCAGAGTCCACTCCAGCCAGGGGCCAAAGGGCTCACACTGCAAAGTGACACAGTCCTGGAGAACCCTTTTAACTCAGCTGTCACTTCTGAAACCTGTTCCCAGTTCTATAACCAAGCTGAAGCATCCTTCCGGTTTTCAGAAACTCACCGTCTCTGGAAGTACAAGTTAGATGACTGGCTGCAAAGCCGAGGAAGGACAGAGTGGGGACCCTCTACTCTCACCATACTCCAGGCTGGTTTGCATCAGTGAAAGTGATGCAGGCCCCTCTGCAGTGACAACCACTGAGGACATATCATGGGGTGCCTTACAAACAAGGCTGGAAACACTTGCTGCATCTGGCTTCAGGGCTTGACCCTCCTCAGCAGGGTCAATGTCTATAAAATGTAAGTTTACATTAAACATGTTTAGGTCCCAAACAGCTTTTGTAAATTAAACATGGGAACAAATCAGGATCTTTGCAAATAAATCGTATGAAATATTTGGATAAGGTATCACGTCAGTACAAGGAGCCCCAGGCCAGAAACAGTGTGAGCACAGTTGGGCATAACACCAGAAATAGCCTAGCAGCACTTTCTCAGGGTAGGATTCCCTTCCTGGTTTTCAGATATTTGCCAATAAAATAGCTCCAGAGTCAATTCTGAAATGTTCTCACCCCGGTTCGGGTGTGGTGGCACTAGTCTGCGACCCCAGCATGGGAGGCTGAGGTGGAAGAATCGGTCTGAAAGCATGTTTGACTACATAGTGTAGCCCCCACTGCAAAGAAAAGGAGAGGTGGTGAGGGGAGATCATGTGACTGGGAATAGACAGAGACAGAAAAGTCTATAATAAAGCACAAAAAAAGCAGAATTAGTCAAAATAAATACTGATATCTGTTTTTACACTCAAATAATGAAAGGCTTCTGTGAGACCCTGGTGGGATTATAGTGTTCATGTAGCAGTCCTTTGGCTTCGCCCATCTGCACACACAGCTTTCCAGAACAGTCTTCCGGGGAGGGCAGGAGTGTGGGCCAGCAGTGTGAGGACCTTCACCTGAGGCTCTGAGGTCAGCTGTCCTCTCCCGAGTCTGACACCCCTAGGTCTGTCAGCTGGACTGTTCCTTTGGCACTTGTCAGCAGCCTCTTCTCAAATTCTTTTTCTGTGATTCTACCTTTCTTAAACTTTTTCAAGAGCCTTGTATCGTTAAGGAGTTCCTCCATGTCCTCGTCATCGACATCAGAATCCTGAGTGCAGAAGAAGCAACATAACTGTCAGCTGCGGCTCCAGAGAGCAGCTGATCCTGCTGGGCCTACAAGCTCCATGGTCAGCTTACACCCCACAGGCCCCAAAAACGAATGGGAGAGTGAGGTATCCACATAGCCCAGGCTGGCCTTGAACCTGGGGTGCTAAGACAAGGTGTCCACATAGCCCAGGCTGGCCTTGAAGAGTGGGGTGCTAAGACAAGGCGTCCACATAGCCCAGGCTGGCCTTGAAGAGTGGGGTGCTAAGACAAGGTGTCCACATAGCCCAGGCTGGCCTTGGACATGGTGCAAGCACAGGCCACCTTGCTGTTCTCCTAACACACAAGGTTTCTTTCAGTGCATTGCCGGAATTCTAAGATGGAGTTTAAGGAATAAAGAACATCACACTTTACCTCGTCTCTTTTCCTCTTGGCATTCATCTTCTTCCTCTTTTCCTTTTTGGCCTTCTGCTTTGACCAAGCTTTATTTTTGATGAATTTTCTTCTCCCTTCATTTTCTGTTCTTTCCTTTCTTTTTTGCTCCAAAAGTTTCTGCCTCTGTTTTTCTCTAATTTTATCTTTAAATGGAATCGTGTCAGTATCGATGTCCATGGGCACAAAATCTGGAAACTGCTTCCCCCTCAGTTCTGGCATCCTGGGCATCCTCAGCAGGGCAAACCCTCGAGCAAGGCTAGCAAAGTCAAGATCTAACAGATAAGAACTTAGCGTCAGCACTGGAAGATGCTGCAGTCAGGCACAGGGGTCCTTCACTGTGTTCTTAATTAAATGGTGGTGTAATACATTCACTTCAGTAACAATGTTTTAAGGAATTTTTTCAAGATGGAAATGGCAGTTTATTTTGCATCTACTCAGAGCATAGGACTTTTATTTTAATTTTTTTTTAGGATTCCCTTTGAAAGGTTTAAAGAACACTAACCCTAACATGCCACATACTTCCTTAAGACCTCTTGTCACCCAAAAACTCTGAGGACAGCCTGGTCTACATAGCAGGAACCAGTCAGGACCTCAGAAAGACCTTGCCTCAAAAAAGAGAGAGAGAGAGAGAGAGAGAGAGAGGGAGAGAAACCTGTTAGAGAAGGGGAAGCCCTCGCTTACCCTTCAGCCTGAAGATGAGGCTGCACTCATGCTTTGCGTAAGCCTGGACGAAGGACACAAAGGCTTTCATGCCCTTCTCAAACACTGCCCTGTCAGCCATGGCCATGGCCCGGAGCTTCGGCAGAAGGTCTACTGTGTTTCTCTGGAGGCTCATCTCCTGCAGGGGGCACTGCACAGAGACCACCATCTCACCCTCCCTGCAGTCCCTCCAACCCCAGTACCTCCCGGAGCTAATAAACCAAGTACAGCACAGTGCACCAAGAGGCAGGGGCCAGAGCCAGCCAAGCACATTCCTTAGTCAAACAGGAGTTTGGAATTTTTTAAGTTTGAAAATGACATCGCACACAACAGTCCTGACTGGTAAGATATTGGGGCAGCAAAAGGCAGTGTTCCCAAGTCATAATGCTAGCCAATGCCTCCCCAACCCAGCCCAGGTGAGTCTGCAGCCCCTCATCTTAGTTGCTGACCACCACCTACCAGGTCAGTGCGCTACTTACTTTCTGGTTGATGGCCAGGAAGTTGATATATGCCTCCTCCATCGGGAGTAGGAATACCAGAGCACTGCCACCATGGCCGATTCGGGCTGTTCGTCCACATCGATGCACGAAGGCACTAGGGGGACAGAATGGGACAATACCCCAGGGGTGACAGTGAGCACAGTCAGGCTCCAGTCATGCAGCTGTTGCACTACATAGTGCTGGATAGAGCCACCACGCCCCACAACTCAGGGCTGACTTGACCACCAGCCAGTGAGCATAGAGGAACTGCAAAGAAACAGTTGCTGCAGACAGGACCATGAGGGACAGTCTACTGGCTCTAAGACACCTGACCAAAGCTGGGCTTCCTTGGGTCACACAGCAGGGTCACAAGGGAAAACTGAGAAGTAAAAGAAAGCATAAAGTGCCCTGGAAGGACAGATGTCAGAAAATGCATCACTTGGGACTTGAATGCAACTTTGACATTTAGAATTGAGTGTGGGAAACAGGGCATGGTGGCACATGCCTTTAATCCTAGCACTCCTGAGGCAGAAGCAGACTGATGTACATAGAGAGGCAACCTGGTTCTATATAGGGAGTTCCAGGACAGCCAAGGCTACCCAGAGAAACCCTGTCTTGAAAAACCACAAATAAATAAGAAATAAGTGTGTGAGGAGTGACCACTCACTTTCAGGGAGATATGTAGTTCATTTGGAGTAGTCGGTTGCTCTTCCCAATATTCTGTACTTTGCACTTCTGCATGAACTTTCACTAGTGGAATTTTCTTTTCCTTACTTATCCCTCTACACATATACCATTTTGCAGACAGCATCTCAACTCAGCAGCCCAGGCTATTAACTGAACATGACTGCTAGAACAGCACACCAGTATTAACACATCAAAAGCTATTTGGCCATTTGCCTACTTCTGGAAGGTAATGCCTCAGGAGCTAGGCTATGATCCAATGGTAGAGTGCTTGATTTCAAAACTTTACGCCAGATGTGGTAACACATGCCTGTAACCCCACCACTCAAGAGGTGAAGGCAGGATGATCAGAAATCCAAGACCATCTCTAGCTACATGAGACTCTTGACTCAAAAAAAAAACAAATTGAAATGTTTAATAATTTCAGTGAGCGTTCACCTTCCCACAGGTTCATAATTTACTCAGCTCAATCCCTAGACAGAGGAACAAAACCTCACATACCTGGCATTGCTGGGAGGGTCGTACTGTAACACCCAGTTTACTTCAGGAATATCAATCCCCCGGGCCATCACGTCAGTGCACACCAAGATCCCACTAGGAATGAGAAAGTAGCATGTGAGCAGGGTCAACCCTTCCCAATCATCTGCAGTGCACTAACCCCAGTGATAACAGTACAGGGCTCTGGAGTCTCTCACAGAAACAGCTACTTTTTAAATGTAATACTTTGATTTCTTTTTCTTCCTCCTACAACCTTCCCAGATTTATAAACTGTCAACAAGAGAGGGAAGTGGAGAGGCTGCAGAAATGGCTCAGCACCCAGGACAGACAGTTCACAACCACTGGTTAACTCCTTCTGGGGGATCTGATGTCCTCTTCTGGGATCCAGGAGCACCTGCACACACACATACACACCCAAACACATACACACACACACACACACACACACACACACACACACAGAAAGAGAGAGAGAGGGAGAGAGGGAGGAGTAGGAGAGCACAAAGATTCTTTCTAGCCAGTTCTGGGGTTGGAGCCCAGGACCTCTGCATGCTAAAGAGTGCACTACCAATCACTGAGCTAAACCCAGACAGTTTGATCCTTTTGAGACAAAGCCCTCTTGCATCCCTGTAGTCCAGGATAGCCTCCAACTTCATTCCTGTCTCAATCTCCCAAGTGCTGAAGTTTCAGACATGCACTACCACAACTGGCTTTAATTATTTTTATTGTATTATAGATGCATTGTTTTTTTTTGTTTTTGTTTTTTGGTGTTTTGTTGTTGTTTTTTCGAGACAGGGTTTCCCTGTATTGCTTTGGAGGCTGTCATGGAACTCGCTCTGGAGACCAGGCTGGCCTCGAACTCACAGAGATCCACCTGCCTCTGCCTCCCGAGTGCTGGGATTAAAGGCATGTGCCACCAACACCCGGCCTATATTGGTTTTTGCCTGCATTTATGTCTATGTGACAGTGTTAGATCTTGGAGTCACAGACAGTTTTGAGCTGCCATGCGGGTGCTGGGAATTGAACCCAGGTCCTTTGGAAGAGCAGCCAATGCTCTTAATCACTGAGCCAACTCTCTCACCCGTTTTAAATATTTTTAAATCATGTGTTTCCACTTGAGAAATGAAACTGTAGAGTCAGCCCTCAGCAGCTACTAGAAAGCAAGTACTATCTTTACCCTGTGACTGGAGACAACAGCAGGGTGCTACTGTGTCCTTGCAGCTGCTTGAATGGTGCCATGCAATCCTTAGGAAAAAACTTAGGCACTGTGTTTGCTCTTGTTCATCCAGGGTAAGTAGTTCCCCAAACCTCCACTGTACCTGTGATGGAGGAGGGAAATCCAGTAACTAAGCAAATGACCCAGGCTCAGTGTATGGGGTGAAGGTCCAAACCAGGCTCTGGGTGCCTTCAAAGATGTAGTAACTGGGTATAGGCAAAGAGGCTCCAAGAAGACAAATGGAGAAGGAGCAAGTACAGGACCTGAGAAGTCTGGTGACTGGTGGTCTGCTGCCACCAAGGACAACCACCCCCATTCACCTCTGAAGCTTTCGGAACTCCATGAAGATCTTATTGCGCTTGTATTTCATCTTTCCATGGATGCACAGGGTCTTCACTCTCTTCAACAGCACCTCTAGGGCCTTTCCATAGTATTCCACACATGCACATGTGCTGTGCAGGAAAGAGAGAGCACTCAATCAGCAACCACAGGGTCCCGAAGCTGGGGAAGGATGCTGAGAGGGGCAGATGCAGATCAGGAACCCTCTCAGGACAGCAGGTACAGACCTGCTGGAGCAGCCCCTCACTCCTCTCCATCCATGCAACCCCTCAAATGCCAGTGCAAACCCCGACACAGGTCCTGCTGTCTAACAATGGCCCAGCAAGCAGGACCTACTTCTCCAGTGTTGCCATCAGAGCAAAAACAACAGCTTAGACAGAAAGCAGGCTGAGATTTCACAGCGCTCTTCACCATCTCAGATCGGTACCATTCCCAAAACTCAGCCAGGCACTGAGCAGATCCTCTCCCCCAGGGATCTGGGGCTTGGAACCAAGTTAGCCACAGACAAAAGCACGCTGCAGCAGGGTCCCCCAAAAAGAGACACATCCCATGGAGACAGCCCATGAACCACAGCCAGGACCTCTTCCCTTCCTTGGAGGCTGGTTACTCTACTCCATCAATCATTAACCTATTCACGGCAACCTTCTAAAAGGTCACCCCAAATACCCACCCCATTTTTTGACATATGGAATGACTATATAGGGCAGGCTGAACTTGAACTATGTAGTTCAGGCTAGCCTCAGACTATTCAGCCTCCTGCCTCAGCCTCTTGAGTGCTGGGATTTTGCAGGCATGAGCAGCCACATTCACTTTTGTCCTAAGATGGTTCAATGTCCTTTTGTAGCACGAGCAAGTGGCACACCCAGAAAAAGTTCCAACACACAACTGGCCACCCAACCTCCTCCCAGGACACCAGGCTGTACATTTCCTCTAAAGTTGTTCTTTCATCACCTCCATCTGGGCTGAGGCCATTAGCAGGTTCTTCACTGTCACCTTGAGTCACAAGAGGAAACAGTGAAGTGGTGTTTTACACACCAGGGGTCACAGTCAGACGGTGTCAGGCAGCATCCGAGCAAACTAAGGATTGTGACAGAAAACACAAGCACATATCCACCCACCCTACAGGGATGACACTTTGCAAAGCCTTCACAGTTTGTGTGTCCTGTACACATTTTATATTTTGAGAGAGAATGTTGCTATGTAACGAAGATGGGATTTGAAGATGTACCTTCCTATCTTTCTGCTTAACCTCCTGAGTTCTAGGGTTACAGCAGAGACCAAGCCTGGCACCCACTCTGATGCATTTCATTGTGCACAAACCTTTTTGTACAGAAGTCAAAACAGATTAGTTGGAAGGAGAGAGGAAAATGCCAAGCCACACTGGACATGTTGGCGCACACCTTACATCCCAGCACTAGGGAGGCAGAAACAAGAGGATCTCAGTGTTGGAGATCAGCCAGGTCTAAATAACTAGCTCCAGGTTAGCCCATGAATCTCTGCCTAAAATAAAAAGACAACAAAACCAAGCCAACCCAAAAAAGGCACATGTTCCTGTCTTGCCTTGTGATAACAAGACACTCTGTGGCTGGGTAAGCTACTCCAGCCATCTCTTTGACCCTGCTTCTCAGGGGCGGAGGCAGGAGCATTGCCTTCTTCCCTGTTCTCACTCTCTCTGTCTCAGTAAAGATGTGACAAGACCATATGGACAGTGGCCATCTGCAAACTCCAAGGTGACTCTTAAGATGAAAGGCAAGGTGGAAACAGGTGCAGAAACATCCACCCTGGCACTGCTGAGTCCACACCGCAGAGGAGGGGCTGCTGCATTGAGTATCGCTGCAGTGGGAGCCACAGAAGCTGGGTTCCAGTCACCAGCCATGCACAGCCCAAGCGTCTCCCCCACACTGTGCTCCCCACCTTCCCACACATAACCTAGAGACTACCTGAAGAAAACCAGGTGCTTCTCCTGCTGATGGTTCCGGAGGAAATGGACCAGCTGATTGAATTTCTCATCTGCCTTACATATCTATAGGAGGGGAAAAAAAAATCACATATTTGCAAAAATAATTCCATAACTGTTTTCAGTTCCAGCATTTTCTTTCTTTCTTGCTTTCCTGCTTGCTTGCTTGCTTGCTTGCTTGCTTTTTCTGGGGAGACAAGGTCTCACACAGCCCAAACTGGCCTTAAACCCTTGTAGGAAACGTTGGCCTTGAAGTCCTGGTCCTCTTTCCTCCTCCTCCTGAGGACTAGAATTACAAGTGTGCATGCACCATCACCCCCAGCACGGCCTACATTTATTAATTTTAATATACTGACTTCTTTGTAGGGACACACAGGCACAGAGGTCGGGAGGTAGCTGGCAGGAGTGGGCTCTCCATCTGCCATGTTTTACCCACATTGAAATCAGATTGTGAAATAAAAGTGCCTTCACCCACTGAGCCATCATCAGCCTGCCCGGCTCACAAAGATCAAGACAGATATCCATCAGCCTGCCCCACTCACAGAGAACAAGACAGACATCCATCAGCCTGCCCCGCTCACAGAGAACAAGACAGACATCCGTCAGCCTGCCCCACTCACAGAGAACAAGACAGACATCCATCAGCCTGCCCTGCTCAGAGAAGCTAGACATTGTGCTACTGCCAATGTTCAGCTTACATCACAAAACTGTATAAGTGGAAGCAATGCCATAAAATGCATCAGTGGGTCCAACTGAAAACGAGGACACTCATTACCTCCAAGCTTGACTCTGGGGCCAAGTTCCTAAACTGCCAAACTAAGGCAAACACAGCTTTCCAGAAATAAATGAGTATTTGCGATGACCTGAAGCATTGCATGGAGACAAACTCCACCCACTTTCCAGTCAAGTGCCCCATCCAGGCTCCAATCAGAAACATTCAGTCCCAGTGAATGGGTTTTCCTGGTAACACTGCAGATTACAAGTGTGTCTCATGGAGCACAGTAGCTCAGGTCTGCAATCCCAGAATTCGTGAGTGAGTCAGAGGATAAGGATTTCAATTCCCAGCACCCACATGGCAGCTAACAACTGTCTGTAACTCCAAGATCTGACACCCTCACATACACATACATGCAGGCAAAACACCAATGCCCATAAGATAAAAATAAATTATTTGAGAAAAAAAAAAAAGTTCTTGGCCAGGCAGTCCTGGCACATGTCTTTAATCCCAGTGCTTGAGAGGCAGAGGCAGGAGGATTTCTGTGAGTTCAAGGCCAGCCTGGTCTACAACATAAGTTCTAGAACAGCCAGTGCTATACAGAGAAACCCTGTCTTAAAAAACAAAAACAAAACAAAAAGTTCTTCTGCTGTAGACTGGGCTGGTCTTGAACTCACAGAGATCCACCTGCCTCTGCCTCCCCAGTGCTGGGATTAAAGGCATGCGCCACCACCGCCCAGCTTTGCACCACCACCCGGATTAATTTTTAAAGATACATTTATACCAGGCATGGTGGTGCATGTCTTTAATCCTAACACTTTTAAGACAGGCAGGAGGACTTTTGTGAGCCTGAGGCCAGCCTGATCTACACAGAGAGTTCCAGGACATTCAGAGCTACATGATAGAGAAACCCTGTCTCAAAACACCAAAAGAATAATAAATAAAAATGTATTTATGCTTCCATTAACTTAGCCATTCATTTAAAAGGTAATCATTTGGATGTGTATCCTAGCTGTCCCCAAATGCATTTTAAATTTGCTGAAAAGAAACATCCGTACATTTACTTTCCTAGTGAGCCTTGAGCACACCCCCAGCTCCCACCATCATGACTGCACAGGACAAAGCAGTGGGCCACACTCACCATGTAGTGGTTCTCCAGGCGGGATGGTGTCTTCTGGGTGCTATTGGCTGCCACGCCCTTCTCCTTCACAGAGATTCGGACAGGGTTCCGGAGGCCTGCTCTCACCAAGTTCTCCACTTCCTGTGTCTGCGTGGCTGAGAAAAGGCCTGTTCTCCTCTGCTTTGGCAAAAACTCCAGGATTGTGTTTATGCTGGAAACAGAGTGCAGACACACAAACACATGAATTAAAAAGAGCAGAGGAGTTGGGTACAGAGGGAGGGAGGCCGAGGCAAGAGGACTGCAGAGTTCAAAGCCAACCTAGGCTACACAGCTGCGTTCTGGAATAGGTTGGGCTTCAGAGTAAGATCCTGCACAAAACAAATCAAATATTAAAAGACCAGGTAGCAGCTGGGCATGGTGGCTAGACTGGTCTACAAAGTGACCTCCAGGACAGCTAGGACTACACAGAGAAATCCTGTCTCAAAAAACAAGAAAAAGACCAGACGGCTAGGGATACCATTCAGACAGTGATGATGTGCACACACACAGTGACGACTACACATTCAGGAAGCCCAGGCTTGGCAGTGCTGTAAAAATCAGCTCCTTGGGGCTGGAGAGATGACTCGGAGGTTAAGAGCACTGGCTGTTCTTCCAAGGACCTGAGTTCAATTCCCAGCAACCACATGGTAGCTCACAACCATCTGTAATGAGATCTGGTGCCCTCTTCTGGCCTGCAGGAATATATGGAGGCAGAATGTTATATACATAATAAATAAATAAATAAATAAATAAATAAATAAATAAATAAGTCAGCTCCTTGAGAAAGACAGAGAAAGAGTCACACCACTGGGAGACCATCAAGGTCTCCCCAATACAACCGTATCGGCATGGATTCCATGATAAGCTACATATGAGAATCATGCCCAAAAAACATGTTTATTAAACAACAAATGAGAGAAACTGTGAACAGAAACGTAACATCAAAAACTAGAACTAGCCAGGCGTAGTAGCCACATCTATACTGCTGACATGCAGGACTCAGAGGCAGGAGGATCCTGAGTTCAAAGCCAGGCTGGGCTACAGAGTGAGACTCTATCTCACACTTTAACACAATACACAGAATCGTTGTGAAAAATAAAAGAACTGGGATTAAGGTGTGTGACAGGACATGAGGGGTCGAGCACCTGAGATTTGAAAGGCTGTGCGAATGACAGCAGTGACTCCTGGCTGTGAGGCGGTGCCAGCCCCGTTGCGCTGTCCACCAGGCCCACCCACTCCCGGGAAGCCACACTCTAGTACCTTGCTTCAAAGCCCATGTCAAGAAGTCTGTCTGCCTCATCCAACACCAGGACATCCAAGCTCTTCACACAGCTGGCTAGGTCCAGGCCCTCAGACTTCCTCCGGAACATGTCCTCCAGGCGGCCTGGGGTTGCCACAATGATGTTCCCACTTTGGAAGAAACATTTCAATTTACTGTGTTTGCTAACTGTGAAACACAGTTTCCCACCAGGCAAGTCCATCTACATCCCAAGGAGAATGATGACTACACGGTAGACACAGCAAGGACTGGGAGAGAGAAGGATCTGGTTACAGGCCACGACTCTAGCAGAGTGGGAAAGTTGCAGCCCACTGGCCACACTGGCTGCCTGTGTTAGTAAGCATGTTGCTGGCACACAGCCATACTCTTTATTCCTACTGTATGCTATCTCTGCCATCTTTCTACACTGCAGCAGAGAAAGTGCAACATGACGCCACATGGCCTACACAACACAGGCCAACCTGTGCTGCTCTGACCTGAAGCAACAGCAAACAACTGTAGGATGGAAACAGACTGGTACAAGGGAAGTTCTGTGGCATAGTACTTGTCTGGTATACATGAGGCCCAGGGTTCAAATCCTAGCAATAAGAAATAAAGAAGGAGGGAGAAAGAGAGACAGAGAGAGGGGAGAAAATACAGAAAGGGAGGGGAGAGAAGATGAGGGGAAGGGAAGGGAAGGAAAGGGAAGGGAAGGGAAGGGAAGGGAAGGGAAGGGAAGGGAAGGGAAGGGAAGGGAGAGACATAGACCAACAGGCTGAGAGCCAGATATGGCCCTGCAAACTGGCTGCCTAGAACATGTTTTTGCACAATGTAGACTATAAGCAACTGTCTTAAAAATCTGAAGACATGGGTCTGGAGAGATGGCTCGGCAGTTAAGAGCACTGACTGCTCTTCCAGAGGACAGGAGTTCAATTCCCAGCACCCACATGGCAGCTCACAGCCATCTCCAGTGGGGCCTGATACTTTCCTCTGGCATAAAGTTGTACATGCAGATAGCACACTCATACATAAAATAAATAGATAAATCTTTAAAAAAAAATCTGAAGACACACACATCTGGAATTCCATCCTCTAAAATCTTCACAAGCTGGTAGCAAGGAGCCCAGTCTTGCCAGGCAATGCTCAACGACAGATGAGTACTAGGGGCACTAGGGTTGTTTACACACCTTCCCCTAACTCCGAAGACAATCAAAGAATATGCAGTGTTCACAGGGTCAAGGGAACCAGGAATGGTCAGGGAGAAAACGCTCCACTTCCTAGGAGCCCAAGGACCTCCACAGACACTCTCGGTTCAGTGCCAAGAGCACAGGAACGGGAACTCTCAGGCTCACCCGTGCTGCTTGAACCTCTCTACATCTTCTCCAGGGTTCCGGCCTCCAATCCACAAAATCTGGCTGAAACAAGAAATGGGACTTGGAACAGGTCAGGCAAAATAACAACCCAGGCCAATAGGGCTTCCCCACACCCAACACCTCAGGTGCCATCTCGAGGGCCCTGCGCCCAGTCACCTGAACTGTGGGAAGTGCTTCGTGAAGTGTGACAGGACCTCATCGATCTGAATGGCCAGTTCCCGAGTGGGGGTGATGACAATGGCTCCCACCTGCTCACATGGAGGGAGAGACCACAAAGTAAGCAGTACATAAGTTCCGGGTGGGATCACATTAGTCCTGCACCTTCCATCCTCAGACAGTTTGTGGAATTTTTCATCAGCCTCAGGGCACATCAGGTATCACATCAAGGACTGTGAAGGGCAGCTCAGTGGTAGAGTGCTTGCCTACCATGAACAAGGCCAGCATCACAAAAGAATAATCAACATAGGGCTCAGAGATGGCTCATCAGTTAAGGGCCACTCTCCAAAGGACCCAGGTTCAATTCCCATCCCACCCACATGGCAGTCACAACCACCTACAACTCCAGTTTCAGAGTACCTGACGGCCTCTGTGGACACCAGACACACATGTGGTGCACAGACATACATGAAGGCGAAATACCATACACATAAAAATAAATTAATTAAATTAAAAATTGTTTTAGCAGGACAGTGGGTGGCACATGTATTTAGTGCCAGCACTCAGAAGGCAGAGGCAGGTGGATCTCTGAGGTCAAGGCCAAGAGGTCTACAAAGAGAGCTCCAGGACATTCGAGGCTACATAAAGATATATCCATGGTAGCAGTACTGCAGCACAGGCCTGAAAGAAGGATCATCTATGACAGATTTCCCTACATGGCCTAATGTGTGCCTGGGACACACAGGGACACTAGACAGCACTTCAGCACTGTACCAGGGACTTATTTGAGATGGGTGGTAGTTTGAATGACACCTTCCATAGTCTCAGGCATTTAAACATTTGGTCCCCAGTTGGTGGCGCTGTTTGGGTAGGTTTAGGAGGTGTGGCATTCCTGGAGGAAACCACTTTCAAGCTTACCCACTGTGAGGAGCCTGGACTCATCCCTCTGGAACTGTAAGCCCCGAATAAACCCACCCTTCTACATGTTGCCTTGGTCATGCTGCTTATCACAGCAATAAAGAAAGTAATTAATTCACTCACTGTGTAACCATAGCAAGGCTGGTTCCATGACCCTCTGCCTGTGTATCCCCACATTTCTTAAAGAAGCTTTATACTCACAGAGATTCACCTGCCTCTGCCTCCCAAGGCTGAGATTAAAGGCAGCCAACACGTTCCCACGCAATACTGGAAGCTTTTTTTTTTTTTTTTTTTTTAAGATTTTATTTTTGTTTATGTGCATGAGTGTTTTGCCTGCAAGCATGGACCTACAGCCCGTGCATCCCCAGCCAGAAGAGGGCGCCAGATCCCGTACAATTAGAGGTATAGAGGTTGTAAACCCCCTGTAGATCCTGGGAACCAAATCCAGATCTTCTGCAAAAGCAACAAGTAATCTTGTTCACTGAGTCATCATCTCTCCAGCCACCACTGGGGGCATTTTAAATAACAAAATCACCAACAAAAGCCACAAAAAATAAAGGGTTAGGGATTAATTCAATGGTAGAGTGCTTGCCTAGTAATCACAAGGTCCTGGGTTGGGTCTTCAGCTAAGACAGGATTTAAAAAAAAGCTCACTCCACAAGGATACCTGCTAACAGTATGAAAGCTAAAATGGCATTTCTACCCATATCCACAAGTGACCAGACACTACCCCAGTGTCATGAGAGCAAGCCAGCATTGTCAGAGTGACTCAACATCGACTTTGGTTTAACAAGCAGGCAAATCCAAATACAGACTCCTCAGACACCAAACGGGGCTCAAGGAAGGCTTCTCCAGCTTCTTCCTCTGGTCTGAACCCTCATGCCTCCATGTCAATCAGCCAGCCCTCCTCACCTGGCTCTTCTTTAACTTCTCTTCCCTTCTCAGAAGAATCTCCACAATGGGGATGACAAAAGCCAGGGTTTTCCCACTACCTGTTACCTGCAAAGGAACAAAGCTTTTGACTTGCTTTCTGCTTGGCCAGGAGAATGAGGGACAGACTGTATGAAATGAGATACTCACAGCTTCTGCAGCGACATCTTTGTTTTTCATGAACAGAGGGATTGTGGCAGACTGCAGGGAGAGATTACAAAGAACTGCTTAAACAATACCACAACCAAACAAGAGTCCTAGGAACACAGGGGGTGACTAAAGTCAAAATGGACCCCATCCCACGGCGATACTGAGTAAACAGTCACCACAAAGGATTGAATTAAAAGTGACAAATTGTAGCAAGGTGTGGTGGCACATGCCTTTAATCCCAATACTCAGGAGAGAGGGGCAGGCAGATCTCTGTGAGTTCAAGATCAACCAAGGCAATCTAGCAAAACTCTTGTCTCAAAACCAACCAACCAACCAACCAACCAACAGAAACACTGTGAGTTATCTATAAGGACAAGTGTGAGCCGGGCGTTGGTGGCGCACGCCTTTAATCCCAGCACTCGGGAGGCAGAGGCAGGCAGATCTCTGTGAGTTCGAGGCCAGCCTGGTCTCCAGAGCGAGTGCCAGGATAGGCTCCAAAGCTACACAGAGAAACCCTGTCCTGTCTCGAAAAACCAAAAATAAATAAATAAATAAATAAAAGAGGACAAGTGTGACAGGACTCCTGGCTTCAAGTTCTGACACTCCCATTGTTCCTTGTTGGACTAGGAACAGGCCAGAGAATTGGACATTATACAATTTAATTTTATTTATGTGTACATGCCTCCTTGTCTGTATGTACACTACATGCATGGAGCTATACAAGAAGGCAAGAAAAGAGTTGGATCTCCTGGAACAAAAATTATATTCAGTGCTGAGCCAATCAGTGGAGGTGATGAGAACTCAACCCTGGTCCTCTGCAAGAGCAGTAACTGATCTCAACCAATGAATCGTCTCTCCAGGCCCTGGAAGCATTGGATTTGCCACCAGCCCCTGGACATTCGGACTGGTATTTCTCTGTGTGGTAATTAGCTTCCCCCAGTCACCTCCCTACTCCCTCACTGTCCACAGGAGTCTATTTCAGTTCCTTCATAACACTCAGCACGAGACAAACTACCTCACTCCTCTGGTTCTTTCTCTAACACCCGCTCTAGAAAGTAAGGCCCACGAGTGAATACCAAGACTTCCAAGTTCCCAGAGCCTAGATGATACCCCGATAGATACTGGGTCCTTAATAAATGGTTTTCGGTTTTTGACTGCTTGCTTGTTTGCTTTTTTTTGATAAAGTGAGCCAGGGAGATTCCCTTTCCCCACATAATAACAACAGGCAACAGTCACTGGGTGCCCACCTGGACTTATCTAATCCCCACAATGCTATGAAGAAAGTGACTGTCATCACTTCTCAGACGAAAAGGGCATAGATTGAGCCACTGTCCGAAGCCGCCAGAGCAGGCAGGAGGGGCACGAAGCTCTGAGACCCCGGAGGAGGTTTCCTGAACACGCGTGGCACTTCCCCGATGGGGATGATCCCCGAGGCTGCATTCAATCGGCTGATCGCTCAGCCTCGCTTCCCCGCCGGCCCAATACCTGCACCGGGGTCATGTGTGGGAATCCCAGCTCGCGCAGCGCGCTCAGCACACGAGGATGCAGCGGCACCTGCAGGGACTCCCAGGCACCCTCCGTCACATGTTCCATGGCGCGTATCCTGGCCTCCACTATTGCGGCCGCTCGGAAAACCAAGAAAGCAGCACCAGAAAGTACTTCCGCTTCCGGCTGGTCCATTGCCCGGTAGAAAACTACACCCGAGCGACGACGTTCCGGGGGACGAGGGCGGGCCCGTGACGCTAGGAAGTGGTTCACAGCGACAGGGAGGGCAGGGGCGGCGGGGCGATGAAGTGACAGGGAGGAGCCCATCTGGGTCCCCAGGGAATACAAGTTAAGGATGCTGGGACCCCTACAAGAGGCATGTCCCTCAGGACTTCCAACTAAGTGAGATCGCTAGACAAAAACAAGCCCAGTCGTTTAGCCAGTCGAGCCCTTAAGCAAGCTGAGGCCGGCTCACCTGCGGACCTGCCGCCAGCTGAAGACCTTTGTCTTCCAGAGGCCCTTCGGCCTGCGGAGAAGTCACCTCAGCGACCACTCCCTGATCAGCAGAACGCCTGTTTACTCTCCCCCTACGCGGACTTTTAGCGTGTGAATTTAGTAGTTTCAGTCCCCAAAGCAAACCAACAGTGGGGGCTTTTGTTTTCTCACCAGCGTTACTAAACATTACATATAGATGTCAAACTTGTGGTATGAATGAGCAAAAGCGCCTCAGGGGATCCTCAAAAAAAAAAAAAAAAAAAAAACTAATGCAACTACCAGAGAGCAATCTAGGGACTGGCAGTCTGTTAAGGTCAGCTGGCAATCACGCAGCTATTTGCTTTTTGCGGACTATTTACTACTTTGCTGAGATTAAAGTATTTTCCAAGTATGTTTATTTACTAATTGTAGGAAAGGTAATGACGACTAGGCATCTATAGGACAGACCATGTACAGAGGTTGGCGGCAGGTCAGGCTTTACAGCACGCAGTACTTGATAACTGGCCAGTCGCTGGCTTATTAGCAGCTCGGTGAAGGGAAGACTCTGCAGGAGAGCTTGTTCTGGCTGCACCTTTCTTCTACCTCTCTACAAGCCTTGGGCAACTCACTTCATCTCCCTCCACCCTATTTTCCTATATCCATAAACTACGAGGTTAAGTAAAAATAATTTAAATGTGACTTTCTCTACCCACAAGATTTTTAACATTGATCCAAAGGAACCACACAGGATAAAATGGTAACTTTTTATGGTTTTGGTGAGGGTTTTTGTTTTTTGAGACAGGATCTCTCTGTGTAACCCTGGCTGTCCTGAAACTCACATGTAGACCAAGCTGGCTTCCAACTCAGATCCACTTGCCTCAGCCTCTGGTGTGCTGGGATTAAAGCCATAGGCCACCACACTTGGCTTAAATGGTATTCTTGTTCACTACCTTTGTTTGCAAAAATAAAAGTAACATACATAGCTGTTTATAAACACAGGCATATCTCATCTGAAGAAAAATAAATTGTATTAAAATTTTTAAGTTAACTAGCATTAATATAAAGCACAGAATACTGACTGTTTTTAAAAAGAACTGTTTATTTACTGAACCTGGGGCATATTAGATACACAACCAATTTTAGATTTACATCTTTTAATTCAATTCTGAAGTGTTTTCACAAACACACACAAAAAATTGGCATGCAACAGCTGCCCTATGGTGAAAGTCACCTTACCAACAGACTGTTGCAAGGATAGTCATCCAGGGTTGAAAAACTATTTGTCCTGAACATGAAAACCGATAACAAATTTAAATTAATTTTACAAAACTTGTTATTTGTAGTTTTCCCCTTGCAAGATCCAAAAAGGAAAATAAAATATCCAGGTAGCTACCAGACATCAGTCACCACATAATCCTGGATCGCCCATATGCAAAGCAGAGCGACTTTCATTAAACCCATCATCAGAGAGAGAGTCTCTTCATTTTCTATAAACAAAACTGACTTGTCAAAAAAAGAGACACCAGAGGACAAATAAAACCCTAGTGCTGACATTGAAGACCAGGGCACTAAGGCCAGTGACTAAATGGACAAAATAGTGGTTGCCTATCATTGCAAGCCATCCAAGAGGCTTAACCCTTTGGCATGAGAAATGCAGGCTTCCACTTGAGCAATTTCGCTCTTCCTAAGTGCCAACAACGGACATACTATGCAGCACAAAAGGGAGAGTAGTCTGTTCCAAAACCCAAAATACTGGCTTCCACAGACTTCTAAATTATCAACTGCTTGTGTCGATTTCAAATAGAGGTGATTGAGTTCTAAGTGTCAATATAAAACTTTACGGGGAAAGTGTTGGGATAAGTGTTTAGTTTAAAGCAAACTCAAGAGAAAGTATAAATGCCCACATTAACATACCTCTCTCCAGTCAGGTTGCTCTGCCCTGAGGCTGGACCAGAAGGGTCAATTTCAGATTCCTGTTGTTATAATGATTCAACAAAATGAACCTCTGATAATAAACCACAGATGAGGGACTCCCTAGAATGCAGTCAGGCTGTGGGCTACTTCCTGAACAAACTGCATTTTATTATGAAAACTGAAGGTGAAAGTACAATAAAGACCCATACAGCATCAACAGCCTCTGAACTCTTGGAAGGACCTATATAATGGGGCAGCATTCAAGTAAGAATTAGAGGCCAATCAAATGTCAAATTTTCACTCTAACTTTCCTAAACAGGTTTTCCCCAACACCAATTAATCACAAAGAAACATAAGTCATGAACGTTCAGAAAATAAAAATGTATCAACTAATGACATTATTATGACCAAGGTGTTTGGTAAACAACTGAATTGTGAATTTGGGATCAACAGGAAAAGGCCTTTTAAACAACCCTCCGGACTTCAAAAAATCTCTTCAGGTAGTAGATCTGTCCCAATGTCATGGCAACTAGAACAAGAGCTTCGAAGAAGGACCAAAGGACCACTCTGCTGTTTGTGTTGTCATTGACTGTGGAGGCAAACAAACAAACTTTAGCAGCAACCCCAAAAGCAGCACAGGAGCCTCATCATCTCTATGTAACACGACACCCAGAGCTCAAGGATCACTCCACCCATTCAGAACTGAGATTTTAAAAAGACCTTAAAAACAAGGTATGCTGACCCATCCTGTAATTCCTGCTACAGTAGAGGATAAAGTCCCTCAGTTACAACTGAATTCAAAGCCAGTTTAGGATACATATGAGACTATGTTTCAAAAACAGTAAACATGAGGAATAGTATCTGCCACAAAGTCTCACTTGCGTGAAAACAATTTTTTTTTTATTTTATTTGAGACATTCTCTATATGTATAGCTCAAAAATAGCCATAAACCAGTTTTATAGCTGAACACACCCTTTAAACTCCTGCTCAGCCGGGCTTTGGTGGCGCACACATATGATCCCAGCACTCAGGAGGCAGAGGCAGGCAGATCTCTGTGAGTTCGAGACCAGCATGGTCTACAAGAGCTAGTTCCAGGAAGGCTCCATAGCCACAGAGAAACCCTGTCTCAAACGCCCCCCCAAAAAATAAATAAATAAATAAATAAATAAATAAATAAATAAATAAATGAGATCCATCTTTGCTAACAGAGGAATCCAGCCACGTAAGAAATTGTGTATTCAGGGGCTGGTGAGATGGCTCAAAGTTTAAGAGCACTGACTGCTCTTCCAGACGTCCTGAGTTCAATTCCCAGCAACCACATGGTGGCTCACAACCATCTGTAATGAGATCTGGTGCCCTCTTCTGGTGTGCAGATCTACATGGAAGCAGAATGTTGTATACATGATAATAAATAAAATCTTTAAAAAAAAAAAAAAAGAAAAGAAATATATACTTTAAAAAAAAAAAAAAGAAATTGTGTATTCAGAACACCATCATTGGAATCCAGCCACCCACACATTACCTGACCTAGAGGTGCAGTAACAACCCAGCATTGTTACATCACAAGTAAACCAAAGGCTTATATTCACTGCTTTTATTTATTTATTTTTATTTTAGGCAGCATCTCACTATGTACTCCCATGTAGCCTGAAACTCAAGAGATCTATCTGCTCCCGCCTCCCAAGTACTCATAGCAAACAATGTGTGCTACCAAGCCCCACTTACTCATTTCTGAGGAGCAGGAAGTGTAAGATAACCAATGGCAACACTATGAGAAGCACCTGATTCACAAAACTGAGTGTGTAAAAACCTCATTTTGTAATCACTGCAGGATATAAGCATGGTGAACAAGAATATCTACCATCAGAAACATCCTGCAAAAATTCCCAGTGTTTTGTAAGAATATCTCATCTTTTTATGTGTGGTGTCTGTATATTTGTCAGTGTATCTCTGTGTGTGTGATCACCCCTGCTGACAAGCACTTTACCCACCGAACCCCAGCCTTCCACTCTGGGGTAGGCCTTCCTCTACACATGACACTCACTGAGTACGGATTCAAAGATTTCTTTGGGACTTAAAAGTAATTTAACCTTCCTGGGTGGTGGTGGCAGACACATTTAATCCCAGCACTTGAAAGGCAGAGTCAGGTGGATTTCTGAGTTTGAGGCCAGGCTGGTCTACAGAGTGAGTTCCAGGACAACTAGGACTACACAGAGAAACCTTGCCTCAAAAAAAACCAACAAAAAATAATTTTACGTTCATCTTATAGCATTTTCTGGTTTTAAAATCCATTAGCTTATTTTTAGTTGACCACAAAAAAAAAAAAATTTTAACCTATTGATTTATTTTGAGTGTGGGCCATATGTAGAAGTCAGAAAAGAGGATAAACAGCAGGAATCTGTTCTCCTTTTCTACCATGTAGGTCCCAACTCAAGTATTAGACTTGGTGGCAAGAACCTTCAACCACTGAGCAGTATCTTCCCAGCCCTAATCACAAACTTACAAAGCAAAAAACACTATTGGAGTGGAGAAATGACTTATCAGTTAATAGCACTTGCAGCTCTTTCAGAGGATTGGTTTTGGTTCCCAGTACCCACATAGCTGCTCAAATTCCACAAGTAACTCCAGTTTCAGGAGACCTGACACCCTCTTCTGGACTCTGTGGATACTGCACACACATGCTGCACTGACACACACAGACAAAAACACTTCCATGAATATAATAAAAATAAATCTTTTTCCCCCAAGACAGGGTTTCTCTGTGTAGTCCTGGCTGTCCTGGGACTCAATTTGTAGACTAGGCTGGCCTCGAACTCAGAGGTATGCCTGCTTCTGCCTCCAGAGTGCTAAGGCATGCACCACTACCACCTGGCTTATATTAATCTTAAAAAAGAAAAGAAAAACCCAGAGGTAGGATACAACAGAGATCCAGAGTCCTGGGATAGAACTAAACACAAAAAGGGGGAAAAAAAGTTAATGAAATGATTCCTAATGATATTATGCTATACTCAAAGATTGATGCCTATCCCAACAGTCAAAGAGGCTTTACCTAGCAACTGATAGAAACAGATACAGAGACCCACATAGCCAAACATTAGATGTAGTGCGGGGAATCTTACCAAAGAGGGGAAGAAAGGATTGAAGGACCCAGGGGTGTCAAGGATAACGTAAGAAAACACACAGAACCAGCTAACTTGGGCTCATAGAAACTCAGAGACTGAACCAACAACCAGAGAGCCTGCACAGGACTGACCTAGGCCTTCTACATATATGCTACAGTTTTATGTAACTTGTTTTTTTGTGTGAGATTCCTAACAGTGACAGCAGGGGATGTCTCTGACTCTGTTGCCTGCTTTTGGGACCCATTCTTCCTACAAGATAACCTCATCCAGCCTTAATAAAAAGTGGAGATACCTAGTCTCATTTCAATCTGATATTATCAAGAATGGCTGATATCCATGGAATGCCAACTGGTATCTGAAGAGAAACAGTGGAGGAGTGAAGGGGGGGCTGAGAAGAGGGGAGGGAAAACTTCGGGTTCCAAAAATCAATTTAAAAATAAAACAAAAACAAAAAACTCTTAAAAGTTTATGCTAGCCGGGCATGGCAATGCACACCTTTAACCCTAACACAAAGGAGGCAGAGGCAAGTGGCTCTCTTGAGTTTGAGGTCAGTCTGGTCTATATAGTAAAGTTCCAAGGCAACCAGGGCTACATAGAGACCTTATCTCAAAAAACAAAAAGCAAACAAACAAAAACATCACACACACAAACATCTCTTGTATAGAGTGATATCCCAGGAATACACCAGCTTAATACAAGGCTCAATAAGCATGCGTCTCACAGAGCATCCTTCATTATAGCTCTAAAGTCAAAGTCTTAACTATGACACATTTGCAAATATAAGCAAGGGAACACTCCACTCCCAGGAGACCCTGTCACAAGTTGTGTCAAAAACTTACTGGCTCTGTGTATTCTCTCCCGAACTTCCATGTACTCCTGTTCGTGCTTTACAGCTGTCATCGCCACTGCCAGTTCATTAATCATTTCTTCTAGCTTGTTCTGATGAGCTATTGAGGATTGGGAGACAGATCAGCACACATTTAGTCATTTCTTTTTGAGAAATACTAGTTCAATAAAATATTCCTCAGAGAAGACACACAAAAGCCGCTAGTTTTAGAAAGAGCTCAAGCAACTATCTGAACCACAGGTGACATTTCAATCCTCAAGAGCTATTCCTTTGGTCTTGATGGTTTTGAGACAGTGTTTTATGAAGCCCAGCCTGGCTGCAAGCTCAAAGACAGCCAAGGCCAGCATGTACTTCCACACCTACCTTTCAGAGCTCTCTTTTTTTTTTGAGACAGGGTCTCACTATATTGCCCTGGCTGGAACTCACTATGTAGACCAGGCGGGCCTTGCACTCACAAAGATCTGCCCGACTCTCTCTCTCTCTCTCCTGAGTGCTGGAGTTAAAGGTGTGTGCCACTAGCTTTTCAGAGCATTTTAAATATCCATTCCAGCAGAGGACTCACTCTGTTTCTGAGTAGGGAACAAACTATACAATACTTACTAACTAGAGAACAATTACCCCTGAGGAATTCTTTCTAGTTCACTTTACTAATGACAAAAACAAAAAGAAAAAAGAAAACACCAGAGCAAATAAACATAAAACAAATAACAAAAAGCCTAAGTATACAAATAACAGTTTTAAACTAATATAGAAATCTACTTTAAGAACCACATAACTTGCTGGGCAATGGTGGTGTATGCCTTTAACAACAACACCCAGAAAGCAGGGGCAAGCAGACCTCTGTAAGTTCGAGGCCAGCATGGTCTACAGAGTAAGTTCTAGGATAGCCAAGGGCTACACAGAGAGACCCTGTCTCAAACACACACAAACACACACACACACAACTCCAATGTTAATTTAACTCACAAAACAGGTTTTTAACTATGTAGAGCACAAAATTTAACAACACTCAAGAAAAAACTAACCAGCCACATACTGCTCCCTGAATATTTGAACACAAAGTACAGCAGCATGCATAAGTAAAAACAAGCCTGGGTGGTTTGGGTTCTCAACCAGGTACTCATTTATTTCATTATGTGTATGGAGCTTTGGAGGGGGCATTTAGAGGTCAAAGGACAACCTTTCCACCATGTGAGTTCCAAGGATCAAACTCAGGTCCCCACTTGAGCCACCAAACATCTTGACCACCTCAGGTATCTTCTATAATCAAGTTGTTCTGCTTAAAAAAAAAAAAAAATAAAACCCTGTTGCCTCCCAGCTACCCAGGATCCAGCCTCAGATGAGAATCCAGTTTATTCAGGGTAACCTTCAGGTTTTCAAACCACTGGCCTCTACAATGAAGGGCTAGACCAGAATGTCCAATCACCCCTCAGCAGCCTCTGGAGCCCACACACTATGTCAAATCTTTTAAGTGGGGTTTCTTAGGAGAGGTACTTTGACTATGGGATAAAAAATGTCTCCAGACATTACCAAACATATCAAGAGGCAAGTTCTTAAATCTTCCAGGCAATGGTAGTGCAAGCCTTTAATCCCAGCATTTGGGATACAGAGGAAGGCGGATCTCTGTGAATTTGAGGCCAGCAACAGAGAAACCCTGTCTCGGAAAAAAACAAAACAACAAACAAAAATAAAAAAATTTACAGACTCAAAACTACATGAACCCTCCTCACCTTCACTGTGTGGGTCCTGAGAAGTGCTCAGTGTCTAGATATGCATGCCATAAGCAAACACTGTGGCATGTGGTAAGCAACTGCCAGTTTCCATGAATTCTACTTGTGCTGTGTGGCAAAGGAGAAAAAAAATGGTGCTGGTTGCTGGGAAGCAGCAAAGCAGTTTCTCCGGAACCAACCAGAGGGCAGACATGGTGGTACAGCTACTGAGGCAAAAAGATCACAATTAAGCCCAGCTTGGGCAACTTTGTGAGGGTCTATCTCAAAATTTACAAAAAACTACAAAAAAGGTTGGGAGTAGCTCAGTGGAACTGTCCCTGCCTGTCATGCACAAAGTTCAACCCCAACACCACAAAAAAAAAAAAAAAAAAAAGATACTAATGAAGCAAAATATATTAAGTATGCAAACTTCTCATCGGGAGCTCTGAATGTTTCTCCACATTAGAACCCTTAGCAGTAAGGAGCCTGGACAATGCTGCCTCTTAAAAGTGTTTAGTTAACACTCTGCCTTGTGCAGTTAGCTGAGCCTTTGTACCTTTCAGCATTCATTTTAGGCAAAGTCACATACAAGTGTCAGTCATGGTGTTGCCATACCTATCAAGCTAAAGTAATCCAACTTCTACCTGTTAACCAAATCTTCAAATTTACCAAAAGTAATGTAATTAATTGCAGGGGATTTTGAAAAGAGGGGAAAAAATCACTTTCATGCCAGCAAACCCAAGTTAGAGAAAAGGAATCAGAAATTAGGTATCAGGATGCAAAGCCAAAAACAGGATGCTGTCAAAAAATAAAATAAAATAGCCAATGACATACCATCCCAGGAGTCTCCACCACCTAGAGGAAAGTGTGAGCAAATTAGCTAGACTAGTACAACATGTCTGCAAATGTAAACAAGGTAAATGTGGGCCCCACGAATAGCAAATAACAGAATCCAGACACATGGAGCCTAGAGGTTTACAAGAGCACACAGTTACCCCATGGCTGCCAGAACAGACAATCAAAACCACTGAAAACAAACAGTAACTTTCAGACACTGGCTAATGAGGGGTTTACATCCACTTTCATGTGAATTTTGTTTTTAAGCACAGGATATCAATCTGGAAAGCTCTTCGTCAAAAGTGACATCTCACCTTCTGTCTCCATGTCTTGTCCTTTGGGAGCTTCCCCAATGTCAATGGTGAACATTACTATCTTTGGAGTCATGGTGGACATCCTATTACTAAAGCAGAACTTGTATGTCCCATCCATGTGGGCTGCGAAGGTATATTTCCCACTGGACTCTCGATCTCCTTTATAGATTCCTTTATTATCTGGTCCTGTGATCTGGAGGCAGCAGAGAAACAGAACATTTGCTAAGTATTTAAGATCCTAAGTAGCATCCCTCAGCAGGAAAAAAATTCACTAGACAGGGACTTGATTAGGTCCCCTGCAGTGAGCCAGAGTCAACACTTTGGGCACCAATTCTCCTAATCACCAAGAGTGGTCTAAATGGCTCCCTAAAGCATCTCTCCACTATGACTGCCTTTAGGTATTATTTGTCCAAGGGAAATGTAACCTGTCAGAAACAGAAACATGACAACTCAGGTATGGTCTCGGGCTGTCCTAACTCCTTCAGCAAAAACTGACCACAGGAAGAAAGCTTTATTTCTGTTTTGAGATAGGGTCTCATTACTAGTCCAAGCTGCCTCGGTCTACAGTGCTGGGGTACTAAAGGGGTGCCCCAGCCCTGTGATTCTCCTTCAGAAGACCAGAGCCCTTCCAAATGAGGTCCCACCCCGAAAGCCACTGGGTTCCCTCCTGCCACAGGCCATCAAGCACAACTGCTGCACCGATCATGAAGCCACTGCAGTGTGCTGCACAGGTGGCATGTCACCATGCCCTTCCTAACACCCTGGAGGAAGCCACACAGCTGTTTCTTGGTCCAAGGCTGGTGGCTGGTTTTGGATTTGTGCTGACTGCTGATACTTATTTGCTGTATAAATACAACTTATCAATTTACCAAGATAAAATAAAGGTGTGCCCCATCACATCTTACCAAAATAAGTCAACACTTTTGAAGGTTCTTTGGTTTTTTGTTGTTGTTGTTGTTACTGCCAAACAACAAAGGGATGTAATTTATCTGACATGCCTGTAAGGATTAAGGTAGAGGGAGGAAGGGAGAGAGGGAAAGTATGTGTATGTGTATGTGTATAAGCATGCAGGTGCCAAAAGAGGGTATCCAGTGCCCCGGAGCTGGAGTTCCAGCTTCAGTTGAACCCCTACACTGAACTCCAGGACTCTGGAAGAACAGCAAGTATTCATAACTGCTGAGATATCTCGCTAGCCCAAGTCTGCCTCTTAGAGCCAGTCACTGGTAAAACTTGGGAAACTGGAAGAACTCATCTTTATCTAAATAGGTCCCTGCCTTATCCAAGCGGCCTCCAAACTTTGGGGTACCACTTGTACTCGAGTTTTGTTCAGCTCTACCATCATACACTATCAAGTGAACAATCTTTACACCCAGTCAGAAACAGTAACAAGCAAATTAAAACTCTTGATTCTGGTAATGTTGTTTCTCACAAACCCCCCACCCACCCTTTAAGGCAGCAAATTGTCCGGACGTGGTAGTGACCGGCCCTTAATTACCATCCCTCAGAAGGTAGAGTTTCAGGCCTGCATGAGCTACATAATGCAACCGTGTTGCAAAAAAAAAAAAAAAAAAAAATCCGGCAAGTCACTTTTATTCCCCAAGTAAGGGTTTTCTAAACACTTCACTCAAGTCCCCGCTCCTGAGATGAGTGACCCCAGCGCATCTCTCATGAGACGCATCTGGCCGCTTGCGTAAGAAAGCGGGTAGGAAGTTAAGCCGGTTTCTGCCAAAACCAGAAACGGCGCTCGCTCGCTGCCTTAGCGCTACTCCACGGCTTCCGATCCATCTACTTTCTCAAAGTTTCTTTCCGCGCCACACGGAAGCCGCACGCGAGCCCTCGAAGACCGAGGTGGACGGCGCAGAGCCGCTCCCGCGCCAGCTGACACGCGGCCGTCGCGGGACAAAGCGAAGGGAGAGGCGAGTCCGCGCCCAAGTTAGGAGC